TCTGATGCAGAGAGCATTTCATTTGAGAAAAAGTCTGCTTAAATGTTGAGGAGAACTTTTTAGAATATTTCTAGTTATACTAGTCAGAGAATAACTTAGGAGAGTGACTGCTTGAATAGTGTTTTTTCCCTCCATTGTTTCCAGTGTCAAGCCTCGCCTCCAGCATGGAGTGAACTAAAGAAACAATGGATAGTAGGAGCATTTATAGTGGATGACTAACTGTTGGAGTATGGGGAAAACCAAACATAACGTGTTTGTGCCATCGGGTTTTCAGGGAAACAGTAATAAGTCTGGAACCTGCTTCAATTACACAGAAATGTAATGATGTCACTTGATATTGGAAAGCTTTTATAATACATGAAAAAATATTTTGGTAGCACTACAATGATAATTTGAGTCAAAGTGGTCAAAAGGCTGACCTGTGGCGGCAGCAACATGCAGGAAAGAGGATGAAAGAGGGAAAGGAGGAACGAAGGCCTGAGGGCAGGAAGTGCTGCAGCTCTCAAGAATGAGGTATCCGGCCTTCTCACTACTCAGATTAATGAGGTCATCCATGATGGCGCCTGCCCGTGCATGCTAGGCAGCGGAGTCCTGTTTTCCACTGTCCACCCCTGCCTCTACAGTCCCTGCCGGCAGCAGGCAGGGCCCTACTTGGCGGGCCACCTGAGGCTCTGTCAGCCTCAATGACACAGCTCTGTCAGCCACCCTCAGCGTGGCTGCAGCTAGCCTGCCTCCTGCAGAGTAGTGCATAGCAGCAGAGTACACACAGTACCCGGAAACCAGCCAGCTCCTGTCCATAATGGTTAGACTTCATGCGGTTTCCTGCTCTGCCATTTCAGCTTGGTTCAGTTTCAGCCAGAGATCTTGAGGAATGTGGTGAAGGCATGCACTGAGATTAGAAACGGCCCCGGACGGAGGAGATTTCAAGAATGCACAAATATTTCTAATATGACTATTTCAGAAATGTTTAATTCATAAATTATTTTTCTAAAACACCTGATAGGGCACTTTGTAGATAATATGTGTTTAGCTCTTTCTTTTCTTCTTCATGCACAGGAGTGAATAGGGACTGCAGATTTTAAATAAGGCATCTGCAGAAAAGATGGCAGCTCCGACATGAAAGAGGCCAACCAGATTACTATTTTATTTATGATGAATGACAAACAGGAGGGCAATGTTCTGCTGCAAGCCTCTGTGCATATTTGAAGCGTAAGGGCATACTGAGAAAAGTAGTTATGTTGTACACAAGGGCACAAGCCTGAAATGAAGCAGCAGAGCTTTTTCACAACTGTTCAAGGTGGCATTTAGAGCTCCATTCACTGAGCCTGTCTTCTGTTGGACTTTAAGCCTCACCTGTGACAGCTGGGCCTCTGTTGTCATAAGCCAGTGCCTCTCTCTGCATGACTGAAGACCATTTCCCAAGCGATTATATTAAATGGTGGCATGGAAAGCTTCATTGGGCTTGAGTTTGTATGCATAGCGTAATACAATAGATTGCAGCTCACCAGACAGAGAAAGAGAGTGCTGGTTATGCTTGTCAACCCCAGTCATTATGGCCCGCTGGACATCCCTGCACCTGGAGAGACATCGGTTTGTCCTCTGCGTTTCGTCCGCCTGTCTGTCTTCCCCTGCCTAATGGAGAGAAGAAGTGGCCCGGGGGGAGGCAGTGTCAGCCCCCAGCAATTTAAAAACAAACCATGCAGTTGTCTTGGGTCTCATAATTGAGAAGGATGTGTCAGTTTCTCACAAGGACCAAACGATAGCAGGAAGCCAATCTTGTGAGGCACAGTACGCAGTTCATGGGTGTGGGTGTTTGGGGTTTTTTTTTTCCTCTGCAGATGTGAATCTTGAAGTCAAAACAAAACTTTTAAAGAAACTAGATTAAATCATGGTAGTCTGAAGAATGTGAGCCTCACATCAGCGCTGGGAATGTAAACACTGTGGGAAACTATTACACGCATCGAATTGTTGCCATACGACATCTGAACCAGAAAAAAAAAAAAGCACAATCACCTTGAGAACAAGATAAGATATTATGGTGCATTAGCCAAGCAGCTGCTGGGGCTGAATGATATTGTCTTATCGAACTGAGCTATTGCTTTAAGACTGATTTTCTTCTACTGTCGAACTTGACCATGAACAGATAACATACTCTGTCAATGGAGGGCTAATCCTCCAGCCTGGATAATTGCCAAACACAGAATTCAATCAGCTCTCCTTCCCCTAAGGAAATCTGCTTCTGAAGGACTTCCTGCCTATGAAGACCTCGTCTTTCTCAGACAGCGACCAGCCTTGGGCTCCATCTTCTCTGTGCGTGGAGTTCTAATCATAACTCATTGGAGAGATGAGTGACACTTTGAGTGCTCCCTCACGGTGTGAAACGAGTTGGTGGCCGTCGTGGCTGCGACGGCGACGCCAACTGTTCCAGCTAAACTCGAGTCGCATGCCCGTGCCAGTTCAGCTGCCATGTTGTGTTTGGAGGAGGACGAGAGAGACAGAGGGAGACAGAGAGACAGGCACTTGGCTTGGCTGTCTGACGAATGTTGGAGGTTTACCTCGGGCTGTGACCAAATGCTCTTAAAACCCACTGAGGAGCATGGCTGCATTACTGCTGCAGCATCAAGTTTTGCAGGCATCCTCTGCACGACTACTATTACGTGTCTACACTGTGTGGGATACAGATGTTTAGTAATGGCACTGCCATTTTTAAGTCAGATATTTCAGCCATCATCTCTCTTCATTTTCATAGTTTTGAATGTTTTTTGTTTAATTTATCTGTGTGGGTTTAATCTGACAAGCAAGTAGACAGCAGGCAGAAAGGAGCTATGAGGCTGTAATTGCCTGTAAATGGCAAGCACTCACACAGAGACCACATGCAAGTAAGAAAGAGATGAGTGGGAGACTTAAGGCAGGAAAAAAATAGCCCACAGCAGAAAGCAGGAGGAGAAGCTCAGCCAAGGAACAATGGAAGTTGTTTAGTGTGCTTCCACCCATCGCTCCTTCACTCTCTGGAGGCAGAGCAGCAACGACAGAGCATTCAGGGCAAACACAGTTAAATGCAGGAGGAGCCAAAGCTTAAGCAATCAAACAATGTTTTGCATGGAGGAAAATCAGGTTCCCTCGCTGTCTGCTTTCAGTTCCAGTCTGTTTCAATGTGAAGCGGATGCTCCCCTCCCTTCCCAGATTTGCTCTGTATCAGGAGCCCTGCTGTTTGAACTAATGATGAAAGTAATTAAATGTCGGGTGTTTTAGCCCGGGGCGAGAGAGAGGGCTGTTGTTGCAGTAGTGAGCCGAGCACAAGCTGAGCTACTGGTGTCACATTTGCATTTCCCCAAATGTTAGTAGCCAGTTCATGAGAGGGATGAAGTGTGTGATTGTTATTCAGTGGATTTACAGGCAAATGACTGAGTTATACAAAATAAGTCATGAGTGAAGTCACCAAATATATGGGTCGAAGTGGAGCAGAGTGAATAGGCTTCAAAATGTCACTTAGCTCTGGCTGTAGTCCAGTCTGCTTTGCTAATCTCATCTCACAATCCAGACAATGTCACTGGAGGTCAAACAACTTTCAATATAAAAGCCTAATAGGTGCACAAGGTCAAAACCTCCCAGACTGACAGGAAATGAATTGTTGTATTGTAAACATCCCTTCTAGTTTTTTCTGCTTCTTGTAGAACTCCCAATGACTTTATTGTAGCAGAAATGTCAGCGTGTGATATAGGGACTATACCAGCATAAGTGTGGACTTGCAAATTGAGAAATATCTGTCAGCAAGACAGAGATCGTGTTTAAATATTAACACATTGGTGATGACCTCTGCCGCCCTCAGTCTGAGGTTTCCCTGCTGTCTCTGCTGAGATACTCTGACAAAACTTCCCATCATCACTTGGGCTAAAACAGAAGCCTGTGGTGTGTTAAAATGGCAACGCGAAGCAGATGTGGTCACTAGCTGTGGACTTTTTGTTTTTTTTCTCAAGGAGGAGCTGTAACAGGAGAAGTGAGGACGTGACCTGGTGTGGCTGCTCAAAGCTCAAAACCCTTGATGTGACTTAAAGACTTTGGCATTTTCACTGAATGAAACGGGAAAGGGCGGGAAAGGGATTTTTCAAATTCATTTGGTTTTGTAACAGCTCCAAAGCCGAGGAGACAACCTCCTTTGCAAGTTTACACACTTGTGCTTTGCAGAAAGGCGGCCATTATTTTGTATGTTCCTCTTGCCTGCAGATTGAAAGAAAAACTGCCTTAATGAATCATGAGTGCACAACTACGCATGCATGAATCTTTGTGGGATGTGGTGGGATCATTTGAAGTGAAAAAAAAAAATGGCTGTGCACTGTTAACGCATAAATGAGCTAAATTTTTCATGGGAAAAATGGGGATGAAGAAAATGACAGGAAATAAACCACCAGGCCCAGAGAAGTGAGGTTAGACGGTGGGACAATAAAACGAAGGGCTGGTGATAACAAGGCTGCAGCTACGGGCAGGACTGTCTGATGCTGCAGTTTACTGTGCACCTCCTGTGGCCCACAGGCCTCGTCATGGGAGCGCACGCACACAGTCATTAGACCCTGATAGATGTCTGCTGGAGGCAGAGCAACGTTTAACCACGCAGAGGGATTAAGTTTGATTTTAACTGTAGAATTAAGGGATTATTTTTAAGACTGCAAACTTCCTCACTCTGCTGCACAAATATTTATTGTTTTATTTTATTTTTTTTTAAATGGCCCTATGAACTGTTTCTGGGAAGACATAAACAGCTATAGATGGTTCTCAGTGGTTTCCCCTATGGACTATCTGATGAAGAGAAATATGTGAACGCCCATGCTTGAATCAAATAAGGGGCCTTAGCACCCTCTTGTGAAACAATTTTGCAACACAAATCAGTGTAACCATCACGTTTAAAGCTGCAAAGAACACATTTTAAATTTTGATCGTGTGTTTTACTTAAGATTACATGTGATTGGTTGAAACTCATCACAGTCTCTTTTCTCTGTGTGTAGCTGGCAGGCCTAGGGTGGGACAGAGAACATGGCTGAACCACGGCGGGAGAGCACCAGCAGCCTGCAGAGGAAGAAACCTCCCTGGCTCAGACTGGACATTCCCACAGCTCAGATGTCGCTGGACGAGCCTCCCACTTTTGTTCAGGTGAGTTTTTTTTTTCTCACCGAATCCCCCCCTTCTCATGTTTGTCATAGCTGTCTGTGTCTTGTGACATGCGTTTTCACTATTCCTTTTGTATTATGTGTCATTTCCTGTGTAGCCGGTGAAGAGGCAGGGGTTCCTGCGCAGTATCAGCATGCCAGTGGAGACCACTCACCTCCAGTCCCCACCCCGTGACCTCTTTGACACCCGACGGCCTGTCTTGCAACGCCAGTCATCCATTACTCAGACCATAAAGAGGTAAAAGGCAGCTAGCAATACACTGGATTGATTAAATATGTTGAGATCTTGATATAAGTGGATTATAGCATGAACCCGTTCAACATTTCATGCTTCAAGATTATTAGATGAAGACCTTCATGTTTTTTTTGCAGTGTAGCAAGTCATTTACATCAGTGTGTGTTGTCTACCTGCGATGAAATGTTATGTAATATAAGCAGCACATGCTTGTATGAGATTCCTGAGCTAAACCGAGGATATTAGCAGCCTGTGTCCCGTGGCATGTAAAAACATAACTTTTCCATATATCTACAGTGTTCCTGCTTTCCTTACCTTTTTACAAATTGCATGGCTGTTTCTGATTAACAACCTCAGTATCATGCGCCTGGTAATCACCTTCCTAATGTTGTAAATCTCAATGAAAACCAAATCTTAACCTCAGAGTCTGCTTTGCTCTCTCTGCATGATTGCTCCAGCACTTTCCAGCTGCACTTTTCCTTCTCACTGCCTTGTTGTTGTCTTTTCTCTTTCCCTCCTCCTTCCCTCTGTCCCTTCTGGCCTCCCTCCGGGCCCTGCTCTGCCTGGTCACAGCAGCAGAAGGGTGCACTTTGAGCGGATTAACACGGTGCCCATTAAGGGCCAGCGGGCTGCTCGCCGCAGCACCAGGAAGCACCACTCGCTCTCCAGAACCCTGCTCAGGTACGGCAGGAAGTCCCTCACAAGACTGCAGGTGTTAGGGTCAGGATGAAGGTCTGGTGTTTACTCACTTGTTTACGATGAGGAAATAAGTGAGTATACTCTGTGTATGTTCAGCTTACAATGTTAAGTCTGACATGATTTTGCTAATGATGCTTTAAATATTTGTAATAATTTTTATTCACTCTGACAGTAAGTGTCACATGTATCAGGCCCACATCACAAGATTCAAGATTTTCTGTTGTTTCTCACTCTGTCACCGGCTGTTGCAGCTGTCATAGCCACAGAGATGTTTTTAAATGAGTCATAAGAGCACCCGAAACCAAAAGCTGTCATTTCCCTTTTACAAGTTCCACTTTATTTCTGAGCTACAGGAATGACACAGTGTGACAGTGGGAGGGGTCACTCATGACCTTACACATCTGTCAAACAGCATCCCACACAAGCAGCTGTCGCCTCTGAACGGTGCATGTCCGTAAGCCAGTGTTTTAAGGTCTCGCGGCCTCTTTAGTGGACACTCATTAGGCCATGACGACGTTCAACCATTCTCATAGAGACCAGGGTTAGTGAGGGCATGTCCACTGCTGCAAAGAAAGGCACACATGCGTACGCTAGAATATTAGCTGCTGAATCATGTCACTGACACAAAACAGAGGACCAGGCAACCAGTGAGAATTATTCACAAAAAGAAAGAGTGAGCTGTGCCAGTGAGAAAGAGATTTCAACCTGACTTCACTGCACATTCATTCTGCAGCTGGTAATTAGTGAAAAAAAAAAAAAAAAAACACAGCTAGCTTGGCTGAGCTTTCCTTTGAAGAATGTTTCCACTTCCACTTCCTGGCCTCAGGGTGCAGTAACATTGTTTGCTCTGGTACTTATTAGGCTTCAACTACCAACAACGTGATTACGTGTGTATTCAAAAAGGTTCGGTGGAACGGGCCAACGTGGAGAGTGGAGTGGGACGCAAATAAAACCTCTGAAAAATACCTCGTTCTCTGTGTCAATTGGATTTGGTGTCTGTTTGTGTCAGTTAAGATTAGGAAAATCTGAATAAGTTGGATTTTATTTGCAGCATCAGAACTACAGTAATCCTCTTGTGCTCTCTTTCTTTGAACATGTGGACTTTGGGAGTGTGTTACTCTGCACCATGCATACACAGTGTACCTGGCTGCCTGTCTTTCCCAGTTTGCCCAGGCATAAACATGCCCAGACTTGTTCCCTTTACTACTTCTATTACTCGCACTATCTGGGCCACTTTCTGACATCCCGGGGAGTGTGGGCTTATCAGTCCTTTGCATGTTTGCCGTTCCACTCCTCCATGTGCAGAGCTCTTAAGAGGGCCATCAATGAGTGCCTCTATATCTCTTTTTCAAGTTTCACCGTGCCAGATAGGATTTAAATCTCTGTCTGTGAGAAAAAGAAGCATGTATGTCAGCTTTGTGACCCAGAACTGAAAGGTCAGTGTTTGTGGTGTTAGGGGAACAGCAGACTGGTTTGGAGTCAGTAAGGACGGCGACGCCACCCAGAAATGGCAGAGGAAAAGTCTGCGCCACTGCAGCCTGCGCTACGGGAAGCTGAAACCACAGGTGATCCGAGAGATGGATCTGCCCAGCCAGGACAACATCTCCTTAACCAGCACTGAGACCCCACCTCCTCTCTATGTCCCCTCCTCACAGCATGGCATGCAAAAGGTGAAGGAATACGTGGGCTGTTTTGTATTTTATGTTATACGACAATGTATTTTAACCTTAAAAAATATTTTTGATTTTGGTATTGATCATTCTGGCCGTCCCACATGTTAAATTAATTATATGAAGCAGCATCTTTTGGAATGTCTCTTGATAATTCATATTGTAATGATGCATATTGATTTACTGCTCTCTCCGACTACCACCTGGGATCCCATTTGGAACCCGTTGGTCTCCAGATCGTGGACCCATTGGCGCGAGGACGAGCCTTCCGTATGGTGGAAGAAGTGGACGGCTACAGCGTGCCTCAGACCCCCATCACCCCCGGAGCGGCCTCCCTCTGTTCCTTCACCAGCTCCCGCTCAGGTCTCAACCGACTGCCCCGCAGGCGCAAGAGGGAGTCTGTGGCAAAGATGAGCTTCAGGGCCGCAGCAGCGCTGGTCAAGGTGAACAACATAGATGATATCAGATTAAATACAAATATGTACAATGCTTGTAAAATAACATATACATGAGGAACAAACAGGAAAAAATAAGTGAACCAGAACACCTGTTGTACACATGCTCCTTTCTGTACTTTATTGGATCTTATTGGCATTGTATGAATTTGCAATCTGGTATGATGGAAAGATTACACCTGTGAAGCCATATATGTTTATTTGTGTGTTTCTCAGGGGCGTTCGTTACGGGAGAGCACTCTGAGACGGGCCCAAAGACGAAGCTTCACCCCTGCCAGCTTCATGGATGAAGATGTGGTCGACTTCCCTGATGAACTGGACACATCCTTCTTTGCCAGAGTAATGCAGGAAAAACAACAGTGTTATTTTGCTGTTGTTACTATGTAACCATGTTTATTTATGACTGAATAATAATTCTTATTTGAAAAACCCCAGGGGATTCTGATTGTTGGCACCTCCGCTCACTATTTTCTTTCAACTTGTGTTCTTTTCTAGGATATTCTGATGCAAGAGGAGTTGTCCACGTACACAGACGAGGTGTTTGAGTCACCGTCTGAGGCGGCCATGAAGGAGGCAGAACCCAGCAGCAAGAAAGATGAAACGGAGTTGACAGGCAGCGCCCTAGATAAAAGCGAGCTGGAGAGAAGTCACCTCATGCTGTGAGTTACTGTGTAACCGTGGCAGCAGTCTTATCCAAGCTGTGGTGATGTAAACATTTTTAAAATAATGATTAACGCTGATCCATCTTAAATCTGCTAGGAATAGGAATTATAACCAAGTTTCAATCCACAAATATTAGATGTCCTCAATAACCAATCTGACACAAATATGAATATTATTGATCTCTTCCTGGATAATGGATGACATGACACAGAGAATGTCATCTTATTTCTTCATCATTAAGCTCATAAACCTCTCTCCATCTTCATGTCTCTCTTCATCCCCTCTGTTGCCTCCTCCAGACCTCTGGAGCGAGGGTGGCGTAAAGCCAAAGAAGGAACTCCAGGACCACCGAAGGTGCCGTTGCGGCAGGAGGTGGTGAGCGTAAACGGACAGCGGCGTGGCCAGCGCATCGTTGTACCTGTCAAGAAACTTTTTGCCCGAGAGAAGAGGCCTTATGGGTTGGGCATGGTGGGGAAGCTCACAAACCGCACCTACCGCAAGCGTATTGACAGCTACGTCAAGAGGCAGATAGAGGACATGGATGACCATAGGTACTGCACCGCTCCACATATCCGAGTAATGAGCTCTGTCTCTCTGCTTCCCTTGGTGGATGACACTGATGGATGATGAGTGATGCTGTTGTGTCTTTGTCTCTCTAGGCCTTTTTTTACATACTGGATCACCTTTGTCCATTTGCTCATCACTATCTTGGCTGTATGCATCTATGGCATTGCACCAGTGGGCTTCTCCCAGCATGAGACGGTTGATTCTGTGAGTCCGGCTCGGATGTCATGAACGTCTTTGTCAACACACCATTACAGTATTTTCATCTCATTACGAGTCTCTCATCTCATTCTTACTCTCTGTCTCTTCGTCTTCTGATTAAGGTTTTAAGAAACAAAGGCGTGTATGAAAATGTCAAGTTTGTGCAGCAGGAGAACTTCTGGATCGGGCCGAGTTCGGTGAGCACTCTTCGCTGCTTCCTGATTTAAATGGTGTTACACATAAAAAATTAACAAAAGCAATAATCATGTGTAAATGTCTTATAAATAGGAAGCTCTGATCCACTTGGGGGCCAAATATTCTCCATGCATGCGGCAGGACAAGCAGGTGCATGAACTTATCAGGGAAAAGAGAGCTATCGAACGCAACTCTGCCTGCTGTGTGCGGAACGATCGCTCTGGCTGTGTCCAAACCTCAGAAGAGGAATGTTCGGTCCGTAAACAAACCCAATTCTTTGTTTGGTGACCTTTTTACAATTCGAATACAGGTCGATACAGGTGTGGGAAGTTTTAAACTCTTCTCTTTGTGGTTTTATTTCTAGAGCACTCTGGCTGTGTGGGTGAAGTGGCCGAGGCATTCCAGCACTCCCCAGTTAAATGGTAAAAACAGACAGCACGGCTCGGTGTGCCATCAGGACCCCAGGTAAGACGCACTAGAAGTCGTTCCATTTATGGTTCGAAGCATAAATGAACCGGTTGGTCATGCGTGTATGTCGTTTGTCTCATTGCAGGATATGTCTAGAGCCTGCCTCGGTATCACCTCACGAATGGCCTGATGATATCACCAAGTGGCCAGTGAGTACAGTCAAACCCTGTTTGGTATTAAGACATTACGAGACTTAAACCTATAGGTTCGGAAACGTTAGTTCACAGGTGGTCTGACCTTGATGAGACTTCAAGGAATAAAGGATGTTTGTTCCAGCTTGTTAAAACTTCTGGCTTTTTTTAACACACTGTTTTGAGTTGAGTGGATTATGATTATGAAACAGCACAAAACCACCAAAATACACCAAATTTTTCACATTGATGAACCTATATGACGTATCACATTTTGGCATTGTGTTACTCTTGAAAATTGTGCTGTCTTGTCTAACGGGTGTGCAGAAATAAAGTGCCACAATTGTTACATCGAACATCCTGTTGGGATTAAACTTAAAATAAATCCTATTTAGATGAAACTTGAAGTATTGACTGTTGTTCCTCTGCTCTGGCTTCTTAGATTTGTACCAGGTACAACACAGGGAACCACACCAACCTGCCTCATATAGACTGTACCATCACAGGCCGACCCTGCTGCATAGGAACCAAAGGGAGGTGAGGAGAGCATGCAAACCTATGAGAAACATTCATCCTGTACTAGTCTGAAGCATGATGGGGGACTAGTTTAGTAGATTACTGACTGCTGCTCGTATTCTTCAAGGTGTGAAATCACATCCCGGGAATATTGTGACTTCATGATGGGCTACTTTCATGAGGAGGCTACTCTCTGCTCTCAAGTAAGCATCTCTTTCCTAAGTACACACAAAACAAGGCATTTTATTTCCTCATGGGAAAAAAAGGAGAAACTGTTGTTATACAAAATACAAAATTTAATTTGTGTATCATCCGTTGCTATTTTTAACCTGCTGTACTGGTTTGTGTATTCCCTGAATACCAAAACAGATGGAGTGAGAGCTCACCAAACATTTCTGTGTAGACAGTGTGCAGGAGTCTTCATTTGCATGCTATTTGAGATCTTGGATTGTCACTTCAGTACTATGTGATATATTTCTGTCTTCCCTTGATTGTGTTCGTGGCTGTATCTTTCAGTATGACCGTGGGGCATTAATTAATATGCTTTTTTTCTGCTTCCCTTCCTCAGGTGCACTGCATGGATGATGTATGTGGACTGTTGCCTTTCCTCAACCCTGAGATCCCAGATCAGTTTTACAGGCTCTGGCTCTCACTTTTCCTGCATGCTGGGTGAGTCAGTAGCTGTCAGGATTAATTCTGCTTAATCAGACAAAGAAGAAACAGACAAAGACGAGGGAATAGCAGACAAAAGAGAAACTCTCAGTGTGTAAAGCATTCACTACCTAGTAGTACAGTTAAATGCAAATCTTGTCAACCTGAAGCTCATAGGCTGAAATGAGGTCAGCCCCAGAGTCAGTCAAAGCAAGAATTTGAATAGAGCAGAAAGTCTGCTTCGTCTCAGGCCAACAAGCTTGATCAGCATTTTCAAGGAGTGTGTTTGCACCAAGCAGGGAGGAACAGGATGTTTAAAAGACCAGAATTGGTCGAATATGTTTGGCACATACAGGGAAACTGACTCCAGTTGTCAGTAACTCTTAAAATAGTGCACAGGAAGATAAAAGAGCCATTCAGTAAATATGCACAAGACAAATAGATAAAAGGGTAGAACAAGGCCAAACAATCCTACACACGTCTGTGAGATGTGATCCGCTCCTTTAACTGGATTGGCATCAAAATTGAAAGGATTGTTCCCTGGCCTGTGTCTCATCCGTCCACCAAGTTTGGTGCATATCGGTTCAGTACTTTTGGCGTAATCCTGCTGGTAGCCAAGCTGAAATAAAGTTGGATAGTCCAATGACAGTTATCCTCAGAGCGATGCCCTGCTGTATACACCTATATACAACTAATATGAATAAGTGAAAGAGGTTAGACATGTGAGTCACCTCATCAGCTGTGCTCGCGGTACTACAATGTGCTTGTAACTAGAGTCGCTCCTACAAAACTTCCACATGTGAAAAATATGTTCAACACATGCTGATGGACTCACTCATCGCTTGCAGTTATATATGATAAATATCAGACTGACAGCTCTACTCTGACATAGTTTAGACCTGTCAGTCAGTGAGCACAAAGAGCTGACCTCACAGTTAAGAGGAGCAGTGCTTCATCTTCACGCTGCCTGTTATCTATCTCCTGGGTAATTAAACAAAGTGCCCTCACTACATGAACTCATTAAGCTTTGGCGAGATAGAGACCGATTTTGTTGATGGGCAAAGTTAACACCCCCCCCCCCGGTCGGCTGTTTGGGGGTTTGCCTCTTCAACACAGAGGGATTATCTGCCCCGACACGTGCGGCTTTTCACCGACATACACGCACAAACATCACATTGCAAACACATGAGCAACTTTGTCCACATCTGTCTTCCCTCCAGGATTCTTCACTGCCTGGTGTCGGTGGCGTTCCAGATGACCATCCTGAGGGACCTGGAGAAGCTGGCGGGCTGGCTGCGCATCTCAATCATTTACATCATCAGTGGCATCACTGGCAACTTGGCTTCAGCCATCTTCCTGCCCTACAGAGCAGAGGTGATCACCTGTTAAATCCCGGCACACAAGAAGATATCGCAGCGTGTTTCATGAGTCATATCATGTGTCCGAGATTTCTCATCCAGCGTATTAACATATCTAAATCATGTCATAATTGTTTCTGTACATTTTGTGATGTTTTCTCGGGGCTCACGTCTCCCTCTGCTGTCTTTATCTCAGGTGGGTCCAGCTGGCTCTCAGTTCGGGATCCTGGCCTGCCTGTTTGTGGAGTTGTTTCAGAGCTGGCAGATCCTGGCCCAACCGTGGAGGGCCTTCACCAAGCTCCTGTGTGTGGTGCTCTTCCTCTTTGCCTTTGGGCTGTTGCCCTGGATCGACAATTTTGCCCACATTTGCGGCTTCATCTCTGGCTTCTTCCTGTCCTTCGCCTTCCTACCCTACATCAGCTTCGGCCGCATGGACCTGTACCGCAAACGCTGTCAGATCATCGTCTTCCTGCTGGTGTTTGTCGGGCTCTTTTCAGGCCTCGTGGTGCTCTTCTATGTCTACCCAATCAAGTGTGAATGGTGCGAGTTGCTCACCTGCATCCCTTTCACGGACAAATTCTGCGAGAAGTACGACCTCAACGCTCACCTTCACTGAAAGCGCGGACGTGTTGTGAGCTCAACGGGAAGGCATCAGGTCAAAAGATGTGGAATGGCAAGTGATATCAGCCAGTCTGTGTCTCCATTCTGCTCCTGTGTGGCTGGGGGACTGTCACCCCCCCCCCCTGTGAACTACAACAATATGCTTGTGTTTTTTTTTTTGTTTTTTTTTACTCTGTCAGTATGAATACCTATGCCACTCATCATAAGAACTTCCTTTAATCACCTCCCTGTTCACAGACAGTCATTGTCACTCCTTCACTGTCCGGTGAAACAAAGGTATGGCACCTGTGAAGCTCCCGGCTGCCCTTTACATGTGAGGTAGGAATTATACAAACCAGCGCTGGTACAGAGAGAAGGAATATTGTTTTTTTTTTTGTTTGTTTTTTTTTTACATTCACACTCCAGACATTGGTTTTTATTATTATTCAGGCAACCTCATACAGAAGCAGGGACGAAAATCAAATATTGATACCTTTGGTGCCTTGTTGATAAATGTACCAACTACTGCCATATTTTTGTTACATTATGCTGAGCACTCGAATGTTTTTCTTTTATTTGTTTTATTGCTTCTCAAGAAGTGATGATTGTTTTGAACACGGTAGTGTTTTAGCTACCTGTCTACTCACATGTAACTGAAAACAACAGTAAAAAAAAAATCTACAAATTCAAATGGTCTGTGACTTTCTCTCTATTACTTTTATTCAAATGAAGCAACATGGAGACAGACATTTTTTAATCGACAATCCGAGCATTATTAGTGTCTGCACGATCGGATCCTTATCTTACAGAAATGACGCTGAATTCATCAACTTTGGATTTATATGGTTTACAAAAATAGAACAGTACTCAAGATCACAACCCAAGATTTAATGCATTTATATGACAATTTCTATTAATTGTCTCGATTACATTACAAACCATGAAGTCTGAATGATTTGACAGGTAATGAATAAATTGAAAAACAGTTTTAAGCCTACAAAATCCAATATGCTACTGGCAAGAAAAGGAATATAATTTGATGTCTGATAAGCCCAATTATCATCTGCAAAGCCGCTGGTTCATTTCTCTGCATGAAGAAGTGAATCCGCTCTTGGTTTTCCCCTCACACAGTCCTCACTCCTTGTTCAGTGGGTCAAGGGATGCTGTGAGCTGCTGACAGTAGGATGCTGAACCCAGTCCACTGGTTTATACTGGCCCTGTGCTGCTATCTGTCAGCTGTGTTTTGCTAATCTTTTCTGCCCTGAGTCCATTTTAGTGGTGAGTAAGTGGAATAAGGGAGGGGTAGGGATTGAGGGACTAGCAGCCACTGTTCCGCCGCGCATACGCCTGCCCTCCGAGCGCGTACTCCATCTCATGGAATTGCATGTTGGACACAGAGATGGCTGACGGCCCTTTCTCCTTGAAGCCGGCCTTGAGGTAGAAAGGCACCAGGAAGTCCTCGCAAATCAGCAGAGCTCGGCGGAGGCCCGGCATGCAACGCAGGTACTGCAGGTAGCGCCACAGGAGGATGGAGCCCTTGCCTTGCTGGCGGCAGTGACGGTGCACTGAGAGCACATGGATGTGCACGGTAGGGGTGTTTGGGACATGCTGAGTCATGGCCTCCTGGAGGAGAGAGGTTAAATGAAAGAATTAAGTCATGTTTAAGTGTTGAAATCAGTAACCTGCGGGGAATACCGAGGTTTAGTGTATTACAGATTTTCTGTACAGCTGCATACTTGGGAAAGCCTCTCCTTGTCCCAGCCAGAGCCGATGATGAAAGCTACCAGCTGTCCCTCTTCAAACCAACCCAGAGAAAGCTCAGGGCACTGACTCAGGAAGTTAAGCACCTCATCCAGGGTAAGTGGACACTCTCCAGACACAGACACAAATGCTGGGGGGATGACAAGAACCAGATCATACAGTGGGTCATGTCCTGGGACTAATGATGATGAAAGAAATGTGTTCTCTCTCCAAGTTAAAACTTGCACCAAGATAATACTGAGAATTCAAAAACAGTATTTGAGATTTGATACATTTATACTTGGAAAATCCAGTATTTTTCCTTAATCAAATACATGTGGAAGGTCAGTGAAGTTCTCACATATACCTACACATATTTACATATACATATGGTTAAAGCACCCATCAGGTGAACTGTAATTTTTTTAAGGAGATATTTCAGCAGAGACTGGACTTACCTTCTCTCTCAATCTCAAACACACTGATGGCGTCCTGTGGCGTGAGGTTCCTGAACTCGCTGGCGGGGAGTGTGTGTCGTCGTTGTCGCAGAGAGCTGACCACTCTGACAGGCGTCTTCAGGAAGAATGGCTTGAGGAACGGTGAGCCGCTGACCTGCTGCGTCATGATGCCTCAGTGCTACAAGACAGGAGGTTCTACTTCTCAGAGATCCTTTTGTTTATCTGTCTTCTTCTTCTTTTTTGTAATAAGATTTTTTATACTGATGATTTCAGTGATGCAGCTGAATGAAGTCAAAGCCCGGTAAGAAAACTTCCCTTGTTCTCTGTTAGTCTGTCAGCTCTGACTGCACCGTAACTAACTTCAGCAGGCAAGATGCTGACCTCCGTGTCTCTCCTGCTCTCTCGTCCTCGTCCTCCTCTTCCTCTCTGAACTCATACTGTGAAGTGGTCCTCTCAAAGTAGGATACTGTCTGTGCACGTGTTTCCAAAGTCTCTAAATCCCCTCCTCTCAAATGACAGACATCGTTTCGGGGGGTACTTCCTGTGTGGATTACATTTTGGATGCGTTTTTAAAAGGCCAAACTGAGAAACTGACATCTCTGTAGTGGCAGAATCACATTGTGCATATTTTAATTAGACACTCATTTTGAATAACTTCATATCAGGATAGTTAAAGCAATCATTTGTATCTCCCACACTGTCGCTAAGAAAATGAATGAGAGTGAGTCAGTGAGACTTATTATACCAGAAAAAAAAGGTGTTGTGCAGATGTGTAAGAATTAATATTTACCTAGTACATAAACAGTAAATTAACAAATGCACTGTACATTCAGATGTGTGTTTTTCAGGGTGTGTATGAGTGAGACGTGTGGTGTGACTGGATGTGATGATTCGCATGTTTTCGGAGATCAAGGGCGTGTGTGCTAATTTAACCGTAGTGAGTAAGGGGGCGGGAGGGATTTGTGTGGATTGCTGTTGGGATGATTTCATGCCTCAAAGAGGTTTAGCACAGACTAATTAAATGAGAGAGCACTTGCTTTGACTGACCTGAGGTAAACCTATTTACACGGACCGTCAATATAGTAGAATTTCGAAGAGCCATTTGAGTTCACTCTAGATAAAATGTATTTTACAGAGCGATAATCTCAATAGTCCACATCATTAAGTCTCATCCAAAGGAAAATATGCCCCTGTGTTATATATATAGTTCATTAGGTTTGCAAGAGTTTAAAAGTTTAGAAAATTCTGGTTTCCAAACATTTCACCACTAGTTCTTAGTGTAATTACCATTTCCAGCAGCTTTTCGTTGCCATGCTTCTGCAGATAATGAAAGGAAACAAACAGAGAATGTTTATCTGACCTGTTTTCAGCTGGTCTCAGCTTATTTATTCCTCTGCAGCCAAACAGGCTTCACACCACAATCGCCTGGCCTGAGGCTTAGCCCTAATATTGTTTAATGTAGCCACAAGAGATCAAGCCAAAATAGAATTGTTTCAAGGATTATTGTTTCGTCCCACTGCTTTCTTTTGGCTTTCCCTGTAGTAATGAATGGGAAATCTCCTTTATTTCAAGCCACATCCTACGTCATCTGGACAGCTGGCCAATGGCAAAACACGAGAATATCTCTGCTGGTGAGATCATCAGATGTTAGAGGCGAACACACACACACACACACACACACACACACACACACACACACACACACACAGTTGTCCAGAGATGAAATGACCTTTTCTGACCTGCAACTTTGTCAATCTGTGTGGCCTGAGAGGGCGGGGCAGAGGAGGGGGGGGGCTCTCAAATAATTCCTCATTCCTCATGGCCTCTTCAAACAGCCTGTCGGAGCCAAGCGAATGACAAGGTTAAAACAAGTTTCAGGTTTTCAGACAAGTGAATCAATTACAGAGAATTTAGGAGAGGAGACTGTGAATGCAACATATGAGAGCTGATAGGAGATTAAACTCTAAGTTTACATACATATATTTATATATACACAATACAACCTGACCTCCTCTAGCTGAAAGCGTCATAGACCCTAATCTCATTTACATATTTTCTCTTGTGCATTGTGTGTGTGTGTGTGTGTGTGTGTGTGTGTGTGTGTGTGTGTGTGGGTGTACACATACACTTCCACGCACATTTTTCTCAGTGTATTATGTTTTTATAGGCAAGCTTGAGGCCACAGTGTAACTGAATCCTCGTTAAACTGCGGTGTACACCTGTTGGTCCAGCTGAGCAGAGAGCAGCAGTTAAACGTTACCGCAGAGGAATGTCATTATGTTGGAAATATGAAACACTGTACACAGAGCTAGGTAGCTGGAAAGTTCATCCAAAAGTTGACTGTCACTCATCAGCCAGCTGTTGCAATGTATGTGTGCCTCACCTGCAATAAACCACTTGTTCTAAATGAGACCAAGCTGTATACAGTAGTAGATTTCTATCTAAAAAAAAACAGCTATTGTAATCAAGAGAAAAATATCAATAAATAAATAAATATCCACTGAATAAATTACAGATGAATCTCTATATACATTTGCAGTTTGTTTTCTTGGTGGAAAAGCAGAATTTTATGTCTCTGAGCTGATCATAATTGTATATAAAGTATGAAGTCATCTTCTACAATGTTTACAAGCATTATGATAGAAACCAACTAACAGCAGAAAACACAAGTAATAAACAAATTTTATTGTCATCTAGTATTAGTCGCTGCAGATTAAAATTGGATGTGGGTTGAAAAATGTGTCTGTGTGCACGTCTGATGTCTGTGTGTGTGTCTGTTAGTATTCATCCACTTGGCTCTGAGTCAGCTCTAGTTAATTTGTTGACAGAGCAGGTTGTACTGTGTTATCCTCCAGCCTTCTGGTAGCAGAGGTGATTTATTCACTCGCAACAAATGAACCAACTCAAACTCAAACATTGAGGGACATTCATTTATCCACAGCATAAAGCTGTATAGTTGAACAAAAAGCATGTTTTTGGAGAGATTTTTTTTGACATACAAGACTAGATAGAGAAATATAAAGTCACAGGTGCGTGAGGCCTTTCAAGTAGAAGATTAACAGAGCGCCTGACTTGATTGTTTTACAGCAGGCCATGGTTCATGTGCTAAATCCAAATAAAAACACAGTTCAACCGAATTTCACAGGACAGATTTGTTGCCTGCTTGTCCAGCAGAGGGCAGCGTTTACCCTGATGGAGGACTCAACCTTATACACAACAACAAGCTGGTTCAAAATACCTGTCTGAGCCTTTGATAGTTTTGGATTTTGCTGTAGTTTTCAATTTGAACTGATGCACGTTCGTAGTTCTAATGTCTGCCATGAAGAGGGGGAAAACTACATTGTCACAGAACAGTTTTAGGATACACATAAATATTTCTATCCGAGTGATAACAGAGCAGATTTGTGTTCTGAGATGTTTTAATATTTTTCTTCATTTCAGAACCATCAGCTTCAGGTGAAGCCTCCAATAATGGCAAAAGAAGGTGATGACTGCAAAAGCAATTTGAATTTGAAAAAAAAAAAAAAATCTCATTGTTTTTATTCATAAAATGATCACATTCTTGTGTGGCCTCAACTGTACTGGGACTTTTTTTTTTAAAAAGATGTAATTGTGCATTTCTTGGCATTACTTTTATTATTCTTCATAACATGGTTTACATGATGTAGTAATACTTTTCTCCCTTTAACTCACAGGCCATTTTATCAACATTTACCACACATTACACCATCCTCTGCCCTGGTTGAGTATTACAGACTGATCGTGGCTTAGGTGAGTCATATTATCTATTGCAATGTCCCTCTGTGAGTACACTTTAAGCCCCAAGTTCAAGTTTAAGCCTAATTCCATTATTTTACCATGTGGGTATTATAACAGAATGTAATTTGCAATAAAATGAGTCAGAAAACAATTGGTAGTTGAAGTACTGAGTCTTTGTTCTTTATTGTTATACACATGCTGCTATACACACGAGGAAAGACAGGTATTGATTTTACAGAGAGCCATGGACCACCTACTGTGGCGTTATCCTGGATACCAGGTCAATAGTGGTCAGAACAAGAACAGGAAGGCACAGTGTCAAGTTGAAATGGCACAGAAGAGGAGGGGGGGGAGACAAAAATAACCACCATACTTAAAAGCCGTGAGAGGTTTAAGCGTCTACGAATTCACATGCAAATGCTAGCCCAATTATTAAAATGCAATGTTTGAATCTATCGCATTGGATGTTTTCCTTTCTAGCCAAACGTACATTAAGAGAATCCACTTGAACCTAAATACTAAGATTAAATGCATAATTGATAAATGGTCATAACATAGTAAATGAACAGCTCGATTTAATATTGCTCAATAACAAGATACATTTTTCCAGTGGCATGAAGTTTGCGATAGAAAAAAAAAAGACTCTGTACATCAGCATCAAAAATCCTGTCTGCGGGCTGAAGACCGTTGTGTGCTGTAGCATTTCGAAGAACACTAATGTCCAATGCAACAAGCAGGCAGCCATATCAATTCAAGGCACATAGATCTATATGCATGGCGCTACACATACAGGACCAAGGTACGTAAAAGACGTTGTAGCCACATAAACACCCCGACCTCTGTTTTTTTTTTTGTTGTTGTTTTTTTTGCAGCTACATTACATAAGCAGACACCGGCACTGCCACAAAAATAAAGACTGTACAGAGATGAGCCACATCTACGACAAGCACCACTTACTGTGCCATACTGAGTCAGTCAGCATACATGTAGCTGGAGCATCTAGGCTTGTTGCAGGCTTTAACCGTCTTTGAGTTCAGCTGTTAGGATGTGAATCTGTAGCTCTTACTGATTATCAAAGTCTTAAATATGTGCATGTTAACTGATTCTAGTCCCATTACTTCAATATCAGGGTTTTTTTTCTATAATGTGCAAGTATACAATTTTGGAAGTTACTACACAGGATTCTAGTACAGTTATATTACATAGATATCACATCATTTGAAATAATAATAATAAAAAAAAAAATAACGGACATGTAGATGTATAAGACTGCAGACAACTTAAACTAATGTCTTCATAAACTCTTGTTATAAGGAATGGATTATAAACCAGTGCAAAAATCACTTCAAATGGACACACAAACACATAAGTAATATGTTTTCAAATTTCTGCTCATAAATGAAAATGCTCAACCTGACTGGAAAAACAAGTTATCAAGTCATTAATGAATTTCACTAATGAATACAATACCTAAACACAAACTGTATTTATGTTTTCTTTTGAATTTAGTGTCAGAAATCCATACAGAGTTAATTTAAAGTGTGCTTAAAAGCACCACCATGACAGGTAGTGAAATATCTCCGGAGTCCACATTACTAGTCCACAACTTTGGCCAAGACAAACAACTGAACATCATCTGACAGTTAATGAATCAATACCTTTTCTTTTTCTTTTTTTTAAAACATCAGTCATAGAGTAAGGTACCAACAGCATCTTTGCATGGGTCAAATTTCTTTTCTAATGTCAGAGGCATTAATGGGATAAACAGAGTCCTCCCTCATCCTGGTGAACTTCCTGTCAGGGCCTTTTGTCGACTCTGATCACAGAAGCAGAAGACTGGGCTGGGGGGGGTAAAAGGAACAGAGGGACTTGGATGATCGTTGTAAAGCATAAATCTGTTCTGATGGAAGGGAAGGAAAAGGCTGAATCTGAGTCAGGGGTTGAGATGCTCATCTTCCATGTGAAGGCTGCTCGTGGGACACAGGAGAGGCTGGCTGGAGCAGTTTGTGCTCTGACTTTTCAGGCTTTCCGTTGACTCGGATGAACCTGGAGACGCAAGACGTGACAGATAAGCAACGCGGCCCAAAGTGAGATTTCCAGTCAGACTTTCAATAAGAACAGAGACACATAAGAAACAGTTCTTATTCTTCATATGATAAGGCCTCGTCTGCATTAAAAACTGGCATATCGTAGCAAATTCGTAGAGCAATACCCGCTGGATAGCTGCGATCGACAACTGTGAATGTATTCATGGAGAACAGGATTCAGTGGGAGCAGTAGAGCTCATACACAGAGAGGCAGAGCAGACAGGAAAGCCTACATACCACAGTTATTCCTCCATACCAATAGAGCAGGAATCAGGACCTAGAGCTGCCCAGAGAGAGGCAGTACGAAGGGATAAGATGACAGGGAACAGGAGAGGAATGTTAGGAAACAGAAAGAAGCACAAGAGCACTCAGGTTAGATGCAAAGCACAGGGAATTACAGCCTTAAAGTATTGGATTAAAGAAGAGAGACATTGGGCTAGAGTACCAGAACAGAGATTTATCAACTGGAAAAGAGTCAGATATTTCTAATTTGTTCCTGACAGATTTCTCACCCGGCAGAGACAGGTCGCCCGGTGGGTCGCTCTCTGTTTTGGTCAAGCTGCTGTGTTCACTGCTGCAGTCCTGCAGGATGTCTCCTCCAGAATGCATCCTGTCCTCTGGATCACCCAGGAGAGTGAGAAGAGCAACAGCGTCAACAGTGTCACTCAAACCCATTATTGACTGTTTGTTTACCCAGTGCCAAGTGAGAAAACTCACCATCATCTGGAGACAGGGACTCTGCCACATCCTCGGTCGCTGTGGCCTGGAACAAGATGAATAAAGATCTTAAAGTTTCTTAACTTTTCCTTTTTTTTCTATGTTTTTGTCTGCAGCAGTTTAATTTAAAATGTATGGCAGTGAAGTGGCGGCTTACGTCTGTGGGGGCGGGGCTGCTGGAGAGCAGCGTGTGTGGCTGAGCATCAGACATCTCGGACAGCTTCTCCTCATCCTCCTCCTGGATGGGAGAGGATGGAGACCTAAGGGTGCTGGGAGTGGGGGACAAGGTAAAACATTAATAAAGACATTAAGATCCAACTAGAACAGGTAACTCAACCAATCACAGGCACCACCATGAACAGATCTTCTCTACATCACTACTTTCAAAATAAATGATGAGGGTAGCCTTCAGAATAAATAAAAAAAAACAACTGGCTTTAGACTAGTAACATGTATAATCATGTCATGACTAAACTGCCTCCTATGGAAGAAAATCTGGAGCAGCCATACTAATAAATATCCTTGTTTGAAGGGGTTAGGATGTAAATCAGATTACAGACGAAGATGAATATAAAGCAGAGTTTTGGACTAATGTAACACCTGTTAACATGCTGTCTAATTTCCTGCCCTAACCCGATTACTAACGGGTATGTTTTTGTGTAAATGTGAGGTTACCTGTCAGGTGACTTGCTGACTTTGCTTTTCTGCAGACTCCCATCACTCAAATGCTCCGGGGAGCTCAGTTGTCTGCTGTCTCCACCCAGACCCCCCGAGAAGTTGATTTCATCATACAGGGGGGCAGATGGGATGGCAGGAGACACAGACCGCAGACCATTCAGAGCCTCTAACAGCGAGATGGGCTCAAAGCCGGGAGGAACCGAGTCTGTGCTCTGCAAAGAGACGTACACAAGGACTGGTGGTGACAATGCACACTGAATGTGGAAAAAAGATTCAACAATGTCATTCAGAGATGGGCTATCATCAGGGTTAGATCTCCAACTCTCAATCTGTGCTGACATACAGTATACATTTACCTAATAACACAGTAATAACAAGGGCCGCACAACATGGAAAAAAATGCCTGATATATAATAAACTGATGCAATGCAGTAACGACTATATAAGCTGTAATCACATAAACATACCAATCTAGGTTTTCATCTTTTGTGGAAGGAGAAGTTAGCTTTTGGTGACTGATGCAACATTTCACACAGATCACTCATCAGCAGCTGCTTCACAGAGCCTCTCATCAAAATCACAGGGGCAAGTTTTAACTCTGAGGCTGCTGCCGTCAGATTATTACATCAAGTATTGACTTGCCCGCAACATAGCATCTTGCAGCTCAATAAAAGCTGGTATAAATCTAGTCAATCTACTTCATTTAACATGCGTGAAACTCAGCAATGCCTTTTTTGCAGAAGTTCTTATTGCAATAAAGATAAAAATGTTATCCAGTCCTAATTCATGCCCAGTTTCCTGTTGATGTTGCTGCACATCACGGCCAGGTTTAGCTGATAAAACACAGATGTGCATGAGACTTACTGAGTGCTCGTCATGGTCCATAGTCTGAGCCAGAACAGGGCTGAAGGACACAGGGGAAAGAGCTCCAGGCTTTTTCCTCACAGCTCTGATCTGCAGGAGGGCTCTAAAGGCTGGGTGGAAGAACCACGTCAAATTAAGCACAATAATAATGTTATTTTACTATGTTTAACATGTGTTTGTTTTAAATGCATAGCTTGAGTTCCTTAAAGAGCAGAACTTTATTAAAATAATGCAACAATCTTACGCAGCCTGCAGATGGGACAGTTGTTGGCCTGGTAACGAAGAGTGTCTGCACAGGAGTTGCACAGACACAGATGTCTGCAGGGCAGGATGAGTGTATCTCGCAGGTCTGACAGACAGACAACACATTCGTTGCTGTTGTCACTGTTTTCATCATCGGAGGGCTAGAAAAAGAAAAATATAATCGTAAGCCGCACAAATAAAACACGACATGTTTAAACCATTGCGATTCAAGTATGAGGTAACACCACCACTCAAACCTTGGTTTCTTGGTTGTTTTTGTTTTCAATCCCATAGATCTCCTGTAAGAGGTAGCTCACACGGTCCACCTGAAAAGATCAAGGAACAGAAATTTCCAAGGGGCTTAGCGAGCAAAAATGTATAACATATTATCTCCAGTCTTGTGTTCATTTTTTATTTTTATTTTAGAGAGGTATGAGAGCAGTGAAACACAAGAAGTGCTACATATATTTCACTGCTGAATGTTATATACAATCTTAAAACTACAACAGTACCTTGAGATTCTTGTAATCTAAGTTTACGTTCGATGTCTACTTAAGAGATCTATGTTATTGCCAGACTCCCAGGGGTCTCGGCACAGATTTTTGTGGCGTGTAGGTCTTTCAAAAGCTGCAGATGGTATGAGGATCAAAACAGAATGCGACTGGAATACTAAAAATAGTTATATTTCATTTAGAGCAATCTGCCTGCGCTGTTTCCAGAATGTCGACCCCACGTCCTTAAACATCCATCTTTCACCTGGCCCACGCTGCATTAACAGCCTGCTGTGCTTCATAAATGACTGACTGCACTGGTATGTGATTAAAAAATCTAAAGCAGAACATTCATGATATATGAGATGAACAGATCAGACCTCAAATTCCAACCTGTGATGAGATACATCCCCCTGTTTATTTCAATAATACGCTGAATAAGAATAATGTCAATACTGAAATAAGAACCTTTATAAACTTACAATTTGTTTCTGCTTCAGAGGTTTGACCGAGAAACTGCCATCAACGTGCTGGAGGTAAAAAAAAAAAAACATAAACATGTTAAAGCTCATATAAAAATTTAGTTTTAGTTTTATCCAGATTAAAATGATCTTCTTTTATATGGATGTGTACTTACTCTTTCAAATGCTGCCAAAAGTACATGAGCATGTCCAAGGCAATCTTGAAAAACAAAACAAAACAAAAAAGTGTCCAGGTTAATAGGAAAGCTGATCCAGTGACTATTTTAGTCTCAGTATAAAACATGTATTGTCATGTTTGTTATGCAACCCTAGTAACCTACCGTCTCCTTCATCAACCACAGCCTGGATAACCATGGGAAACACTCCTCGATCAAGGTCAAAGTTCAGCTTTAAGGGAAAAGATACATTTCAATGAAGTTGCAGTTGTAAACAAGTATGGTGCCTCAGAGTATCCTTGTGTAATAATTCAAATCCTGTGCTGATGCACTGGAAAAAAGTGGGCCATTTAAATGTATATAGGAGATATTTACCAACATAAACCAATATCAAAAACACAATTTATTTTTGTGATGTGTGATCCAGTAATAATCTCCACCAATTGCTGCAGATACTTACATCTTCCTCTTTCCACTCGCTGAAATCTATTTTGAAAGATGGCATGGAGAACTGTTGGCTCACCCCTCGCTTGTAATGCACAGTTTCAGAGACCATTGATGGATCCTTTGGGCTGTACCTAAATACAATATGATATAGAGAAAAATGGTCAGTGTGCAGGAAGATGAACGAGTCCTGACACCATCACTGACTGAGTTTCTAGATAAAATGAAAACAAAGAAAACTGTACAGTACAACAGTAGCAATGTCTGATCATTTTGATCCCAGAAAAAAATGAATCAGTAATTCAGTCTCATCATAAAACAATGACTTCAGTATGAAGTATTTCTTTCATCTTCTTCTGAGTCTTATCTGCAGTATCCATGGTGACTAGTGGTTGCTAAGGACCTGCCGTATCTATTCTAGTCTTTGTGCTCTAATGCTTGAATCTCACTACCCATATAACAGAGTTTAAAAGTCACTGACACAATGTTTTACACTAAAATGAAGCTGCAGTGTCAATTAAATTGATCTGATAAAAATCTTAACAACTAATCATCTCACAGACAGATACTAAGTGCCCTATGTTTAATTCAGACAGGATTCATAAATGGATTTAAATGTGATGTTTAGATTCAATGAATAAAAGACCAGCTAAGTTAATTTTTAAGTAGCTGTTTGTGCTATAATTTCTAAAGCTTGATCAGATTAAATAAATTGATTAAATTCTTACACTGCCATCCCATTGGAGAACTCCTCAAACGCCTGGCAGTAGAGGGTGATGGCCACCCGAGCATCAGCATCAAAGGTGAACTCCACTCCATACTGGACCTTTGGTTTTTCACCATCCTCCACCGGTGTGTCAGAGTCATCTTTATACCTAGGATCAAGAGGTATGACAAGCATTACATCACCATATGAGAAACTCTTTTCCTTAAAACAGTTCTTTACTCTCAGTGATTTGTATCATTATACTGCCTTTCAGTCTTTACCTGACCAAACGCAAAGAGTCCTTTCTAATGTTGACCAGACTCCTCAGGGTTTTCACAGGCTCATGGGGTGCAGGTGTCACATATGGAAACTAGTCAAATAGTAACAGCAATATGAATGATGATGTGATTTGAAATTATCGATATTGTTTGATTAATTACTCGATAAATTTAGAACTACATCATGGTAGTTTTACATCTGTGGAAAATATACAGTACTGAATTTTCAGATCATTAAAACATGTAGAAACATCAGTTTTCACCTGCACTGGCCTATTTCCAAGGAAATTCAGGTCCATGTTTTCTCCAAAAAGGTATCCCTCTGGATGTGGTGTGTCGAATTTCTCTCCCCCCATGAAGAAGTGGCTCGCAAAATAATTCCCTGAGGACAAAAGAAAAAAAAGATGAATAATAAAGGAAGTGTGAACATGAAACTGCTAAATTTCCTTATTATTTTAGGTATTTTTTGGTGCAATTCTTTAAAAAGGAATCTCTCCGTCAGTGTAAACAACAACTCAATTTATATGCAGTTACTTCAAATGGTTTGTGTAAAAATAAAATGGTTTAGCTGTACAATGAAAGTGAAGTGTAATATGAGTCTTTTACACAATGGTTTGTAATTCAGCTGAGAAAATAAGTAAATAAAGGCTGCTAGGTTGAATAAATGGGGTAGGAACATATTACATAGTTACATATTAGGCAACAACACCTGCCCAAAAATTACCCCAACATATAGCTTTAACATGAGCTGTAGCATGAACATTATTCAAATTTATATATGTAAACAAGATTTTTAAGTTTAGTCATTTTAACCATCCAAAAACAAGAATACAGGATTTCCAGTAACTGCGTTATCACTGCATTAATCCTCATAGGTGTGTACCCATATGCAGAGGATTATATGACAAGGCCAGTTAACAATAAAATGTCTGATTGTTTTGGTGGGATTTAACTTGTTGGTCTCACATGGACATACCTGCCCCCACACTGAGTTTACACTATCTGAAGATACCTTAATAACAAAGCAAAAGTGTCACTGAAACGTAAGGCTTATGGCTACAACACAACTATTATAAATTTCTTTGACATAGCATACTAACGGGAAAATGTGCCTTGAAGGTCTTTGTTTTGAAAGCTGAAAAACATATGTTGACGTGTGTGTCGTGTCTCTGGATGTAAGCATCTTTTACCCCTCAGTTCTTGTAGCATCCATTTAAAGTGTTTAAAAAAACATAATCGAAATCTGTACACTTAGTTTTGACGTTGATCGCACGGTGATTCGTTTATTGTGATCATGATGCTGTAAGAACTTAATAATAAACAAACTTGCTTAAAACCAGCAGTGCCCGATATATAGTAAGACTACTGTAAATCTCACAAGATTGCCTGAGTAATGTGACCTATCTGCAGAAAAACAGTCAAATGTATCAAATGTATATGCGTTCACACGCAGTAATTATCTAACTATACAGCTGACGAGAATCAACGTCAAAAATAAAGTAATTAAAACCTGAGGAGGTAGGAAGTGCTCGGTGTCTCAGCGTTTGCTCTTGCTTTAGGAGATCAATGATTATGTGGAATTTGAATTCAGCCAAGAGACACTACCGATCACTCACCAGATTTAGGTGGAAATCGATAGGCCGAGTTGGCCTGGATATCGATATCCTCAACACCAGCGATTCTGCGACTCAGGATGGACCCCATCTTTCCCTGCTGGATCGCCGATGTTAGCTACGGTTAGCTAGCAGCTTGGCAGCTAACGGCGCGACAGCAGCTCCGATTAGCTTTGCCTTCAGTGCACGCTAACGCCAAAACACAGATAACATCAACGAAAAATAAAAGTTTTCGTTAGTTTAACATTTTACGCGTTTAGTTAGTCGGTGACTATGCTGTAAATGCTAACAGGAAATAGAACGCGTCGGGCGACGAGCTGTTGTTTTGGCCGAGCTGTGCTAACGTAGCAGGGAGTCAACCTGATTGGCTGTCTCCAAGCGTTCCAGGAAAGTCAGGGCGTTCGCCCTGTGTCAAGGGACCGCCCGGTGGGAGCACGGAGTAAGGTCAGCGAGGGGAAGGGGTGAAGGGGTCAGAAAGAAACTAAGAGTGAAATATAATTGCAATAGAATGAGAGAATCAAAAGGATATATCAATACAAGTATCGATACATAAAATATATCAATAATGGTATAATCATGTCAGTGCCACTATAAATATTATCTGTATTAAAGAGGTACCACTTAGGTGCCATTTATGGAGGTTTCATAAGGTGTAATTAATGGATTTATTAATTGTAAATGAATCGTTTACTAATGCTTTACATCTCAGTTATATTCCATTGATAACAACAACTCTTGGGTTGCCAGGTTGTGGAAAATCATCCTCCAGTGTAACATAAGTGTTAAAGGCTAATGGTTTCTCACTTTGTAATAAAGCCACCAGAAAAAGGTAGTGAGTCACTTATAAATCTTATTAAATCATTAATAAAGGGTACTACAATAATGAAGTCTGGAGTTACAAAAGGACTTATGACAGATCTATGAAGCATTAGTAGGCCTACTACTTCTTCATAGATATCACAGAAATATTTCACCTAAATGATTTATTAACCAATAACAAACAATAACAACCTATAGCCTAATAATTACTATGATTTTCAAATGTTTTTGATGGTATGGTATTGTGCCTACCTTGATACACTGTATGCTTGACACCAGGAGGTGTAGGTAGTTAACCTGAATCAGAAAAGATGAATATTTAATCCAGTGGTCACAATGAAGAACTGCATTAGGAATATGTACAACTCATAGTATGATTAAGAAGTATGTATGGAAGTATGTATGTTTGCTGCAAACACAATCCCACTTTTTTCTCAGTGAGATGAATGGATGGAATGTTAACAATCTCCCGTTTTAAACAACTTTTTATGTATTTTTCAACCCCTTTTAACTCATTCATACTTTCAGGTAGAAACTCTATTCAAAAGTCAAAGCGTTCAGAAACGTTCCGTCATTTTTGGTTGTATCCAACTTTGACCCATAGTTAGTGACAGTTCAAGATTCATGAATGTTTCTGGTCCTCTCTAGGTTTTTACATTAGTTTTATTGTGGTGGAATGTTTACAGTTAGAGTGAGTGACATCACACAGAGTGGGGAGTAGCTGTTCAACTGTTCTGAAAGATTTCTGTTTCACTCATCCTCACAGCTACAAAGTTTCCAATAACACTAAATACTGCATATCACAGTGGATCTTTGTGTCATTTATGCCCTGGTAAAACAAGCCGCTGCCACTGCCCCAAACAGACAAACAAATGACAACGAGGTAACTGATGACATCCTTTGATGAGAGGACTGATTGCATTTTCATTTTCATTAGACCTGAAAAGAGCGTAGTGACATGTAAATGTAAGTGAAATGAACTGAGGGCAATGTTTACGTATTATATTTGAATAATGTCCACTGTAGAGCAGGTTAAGTATCTGAAAATTAATTATCAACAACTTTTCAATTTTTCATTATAATATGATCATAGAACGCCCACGAGTATGTGAAAATGAAAATGCAAATCGGATTACTGCGTTTTCTTTTTAATTTTCTTTAATTTGCTGAGTTGAGGACCAGCAGAAGAACAGGTGTGCTAACTGGCCAGCTCACACAGGCGAGTGTCAGCTATTGATTTAATGTAGTGTTGCGGTTCCTCACTGTGACCGCTGGAGGGCAGTTAGCATTCATGATAAATAAATTGTCTCCTGTTCTGCCAAAGAATAGACAGGTCTCCGCACTAAATTTTTATCCAAAACTTTTACTGTCAATAAAATAATATCTGATAATGGGGTGTACACAATTATATTAACAGCAGTTGTATTATTAACACTGTGTTTTATTATTAACAGTAGTGTTGCATTTCCTCGCGGGGGGCGAGGGGTGGGGGTACTCGATTCTAAATACAGTCAGGTCGACTGTGACAATTTAAGGCGTAAAGAGCATAAAGAACAGTTCATGATCATTTTGTTGCTATTGTTGTTTTTTTTAAATTATGTGTTTATTTAAAAGATAGTGTACAACTTAAATCATAAGAAAATACGTGCATTGATTTAAATGAAAGAATGTAACGTGTGGTTTCTTATAAAAGCACTGGTATTACATCCCTGCTCTTATGTATGTTCATTTTTTTGAACACATTTGTCACCTTTTTATTGGAGTAATTTTTGTGTCTGTGTTAATGATAATTACTGACGTGAGGAGTTAATCCGTCTCAGCGGATATTGGAGCTGCTAACGTCAAACAAACTTCAGTTACACCGCGGGCAGGCTGCGTTTTTCCCATAACCAGGTAATGTGACTTTCACTACACTGACAACTGCAACGTGACAGTCGTGAGCAAAAACAATGTTTCACGATGTTCCAGACAATTAGTCCGTTAATGTGAAAGTTTCTGGCTTTATCTGTAGTCTGTTATTTCTGTGCTTAGATTGGCGACGCTAGCTCGCTAGCTAGCTAGCTAACAACTGTTAGCAAACATGCTTTGCTTTGCTTTAGCTGAACAAACACATCCTTGTCTGTCAAGTTACCTTACCAGCTAAGTACAAATTAACATTCGCTTTCAGTGGCTCCTAAATCTATTACAAGAGCTAGATGAGAGAAATTATCGTCCACCTGTCAGTAAACTGACCCTGGTAACGTTAACATCACGTCGCGTTATCTCATTTAGCTAGCGTGTCGGTAAACGTTAATATGAGTAATAATAATAATGTTAAATACCTGTACTAGATATGCACCCTAGTTTAAATTAACATAAATGCTGGCTTCCGTTAGCCTCCATTACGCAACTAAGTTATTCATGGTTAGTTGTGCAAGTAGTTTTGAGCTGGATTATCTGGGAAAGGATTAAAAAAAAAAAACATCAGCTAGCTTTAGCGAGGTAGCTGCTTAGCTGAGAAGCGTTAGCATGAATGTAGGAGCAATGCCTCCCAGCAAACTTTGAGTGTTTTTTTTAACAGCCACACACAGTAAATCTTGTTATTGTGATGATGTTTCACACTTGTTTTTAAGTCAGTCTGCTGCGTTATTTACGTGAGCTCAGAGGGCAGTTCTGGTGAGGATAAAGCACGGAGTTTGAGTTTTGATTTTGGGCTGCACGTTAGCCACTAAAGTAACATCGTTAAAAATAATACTGTCGAAATTTCACAGAATGACATCCAGTAGGGTGTTAGAAACTCTTTCCTCTGTATAGTCAATTCTGTCCATTGTTATTACGTCCTCCAAGGAAATTTTCTTTTCACCTGTGTCTGTTTGTTGGTTTGTTTGTCAGCAGGATTACGCAAAAAGTTCTGAGCCGATGTGCACTGAATTTGGTGGATGTCAGGGCATGGGTTGGGGAAGAACCCACTAGATTTTGGGCAGATCCAGATCAGTTACTATGAATTTGAATTTTTTTCTCTGATGTCTGGTTTATGTTGTGTGTTTATGCTGCCTTGGCGGGGGTCTGAGCTTTCAGAGTACCCTTCTAGTTTCAGTGTTTTTTTTCCAATCATATTACAGGTTGCCAGATTCCTAAGGTGGAATCTTTCTCTTCCGGGTAGTACCAGGTAAACACTTGTTTTCTTGTCAACCAGTTATTTAGGATGCACCCACAGTTAAACATATTACTGTACATATTATGTGTAATTGCTGGGCAGTAATCCCACACTATACTATATATAGCTCCTGAAATAACCACAGAAAAACAACAACATGTTTGTGACACAATGAATGACTCAATGAAATTCGGCACAGTGTTGTAAATGTAGTATTTATATTAGTACTGTTGTAGGTTGGGCACAGGTCTTCTGTTATTGCACCTTTGTTTACAGTATACACATAATCTCAGTATGTATAGATTCATTTAGAAATGTAACACCCTACACCATCATGCATCTCTCACATTTTGTAAAATGTTTTTGCCTTCCTTTGTCTGACTCACCAGATAGAAACTTACAGAGCCTCAACTTGTGATATAACGGTTGCTTTCGCCGACAATTTTTTGAGCGATGGGACAAGTAGTTACACAGTGCTCTTAACCATGTTCAACTTTCCCTGCAGCTCTCTACAGTCATTTCATCATAGCAAAATAATAGTTTAAATGTGACTGTAAAATCCCCCCCCATTTGCCCTGTTTTTATTCTCTCTTAGACATTTGTTGAACACTGCATTTCAGCCAAGGCATGCATTATTTAGCCAAAGAGAAAACCATGCTTCCTGTTGAAAGTGAAGCCCTGAGACAGGAGGACAGAGGAGCTCTCACTTGTGGTGTTGTTGTTGTTGTTGTTCTATTTGTGTTTTCTTTTCATTCAGGCCTCCAGAGTTGTTTTTAATCCTAAAGATGATTTTGTTAATACCTTCTTTACTGTACTGATGATTACCAGGGTACTCTTTCATTACTCTTTAGTGTCATCTTTGTTAATTGATTGAACTTGCAACATCCTATCTCATGACCAGGTGTTATAAAATTCATAGTTTCCACACAAAATTAATGTTTTCACATCAATGAAATCAATCACACAAAAATCATTGTTTGATTTTACTTAAAAAGCTAATTTATGACTTCCTTAATAACTTCATTTTGGATCTTTCATACAAATAGCTTAATCTATAATTGAACATATTCATTTTAATTGATGTCATTGTCTGTTTTTTGTCTTTCAATTTGTAAATTATTTTATATCTTTGTTTTGAAAAGCTCTATAAAAATAAAGGTTGAATTGTTTTTATGATTACTAATAAGCATCAGTAAGCTTCAATAAACCAGGGCAACAAAAGAACATTAACACCATCAATCAGTGAAAATGCCTCTACATTTTGCTTGTTCTTAAACTTGGTTCATGTGCCAACTGACATCAGCAGTTACACCATGTACCTCATTAGCCTCTCTGACTGTTGTTGGAACAATTTATGACGCAGGAGAAGCTTGTGTCAGAGAGTAATGAGCTATGGGACTTAAACGGTATATTTTAATTATTTATTTATTTTACTCTCACAGAGTGAAAGTCCACAGGAGAGTTGTGAGAGGAACTCCGTGTCCATCCCCTCTCCCTGTCCAGACATCCGGCCAGTATGTCCAGTGATCCTCCTCCTCCGTACCCCGGAGGTCCCAGTGCCCCGCTCATTGAGGAGAAGAATGGACAACCTGGTAATAAAACCAAACATTCAGAATTGTGATGAATGTTAAAAAGCACCCAGATACAGTATTTGTGCTGACTTAATTTCTTCTTTCAATGTGAAATCAATAGATAGTACAGTACAGTACAGTACAGTACAGTAGTTCTTTGTTTAGTTTGAAAGAAATATGGTTTGCTATATTATAATTTTGAATAATCCAGTGTTGCAAGTTAGTATTTTATCTTTGGATTAAATTTACATCTCCATACTCTGTGAAATTCACGTTTCAAATATCAGTTCTGACGACAAATTAATTTTGCAATTTGTCAGTTTTGCTTCATCAAATCAAAAATTGATCACTTCAAGAATATGCCTCTAGACACTCAATTTAATCATTGTAGCTTGAGTAAACTGTCATTATGGAGACTTAAGAATAGTCGCAGTGTTAGTTAAAAAGTGCCCTTGACTAATCACAGAACCCTGAACTCGAACACGCTGTTCAAACAGTGCAAAATGAGTAGTAGTTGGAGTTTGGTTTCATGTTAATTTGAGACTGAAATCTTAACCTAAGTTCAGACACACAGGACAGCAGTGATCTTTGTTAATGGCTCTGATGACATTAATGTAACATGTGTAGGTATCATAAAGTATATATTGAAGGTGGCCCTTACATTTCAATGTATCATGGTTGCAATTGTATATTATCTACTCAGAAGTAAGATTGAATAATGTAGTGTGAATTCTTTCTATTTGATGACTCTGTCTTCAATTATATGTTTTTCTTTTTTCTGTGTGTTATTTTGCAGAAACAGTTCCTATAAGAACTGGTCCTCCACAGGGACAGCCCTTGCCTCCAGACTACGGTCCCCCACCTTACGAGGCCTCACAGCCAGGCTTCCTTCCCCCACATGTCCCTGGAGAAGGGCCCATGCCAATGCCTATGCCAATGCCAATGCCACCTCAAGGTACAGCAGACAGTCAGCATATATAAATCAACACGTAAAGCATCAAAACAAGCTGACAAAATTATTGCTACATGTAAAGTTGTCAGGGGTTAATGTGTTAGCTAATAGCTAGCCTTCTGATGAATGTAAATCAATGCTTTTTTTTTCACCTTTTTAACCTTTTTATTTGTAAGGTAACTCCTATGAGTACAGTTGTGTATATACTCGCAGTATATACTTCAATTCATAAAAAAACACATGACATTTAAGTTTGTAAAATTATTTTCATTCTGACAGGTGGCCCCTACCCACCGCCGCCAGGTCACTTTCCTCATCCGATGCCAGGACAGATGGGCCCTGGTCCCAGTCACTTTGTCCACATGGGAGGACACACAGCGACCGTCCTGGCTCCTCCAGGGGCAGCCACCACTGTGACCGTACTGCAGGGGGAAATGTTCCAGACATCACCAGTGCAGACTGTGTGTCCGCACTGTCAGCAGGCAATCATCACCCGCATCTCCCACGATGTCGGCCTCATGAACACACTCTTCTGCCTCTTCTGCTTCTTTGTAGGGTAAGTGGATCACATTTCAGAAGACAAGCAGGAAAGAGGTTTGATAGCCGATTGATTAAGGTAATCTAAAACATGTTTGTGGTGAGTTTTGTAGCATTTTGAAATACTTTAGTTGGCCTCAAACCCTATACACACACACACACACACACACACACACACACACACACACACACACACCCACACACACACACACACACAAAAGACTAAAGGGAGTAACACCTAAGAGTGAAAGCAGCTCTCAAGTACACAGGGCTCATTTTAACTGGGTGGAAGAATTGAGAATTTCCAAGCTGGGCTCTCGCATGTACAAAGCATCACAGAAATATCTAACAGAGCTATAACCATGTCTTTTATGTCTTGTTTGATCAGTCATTTGTCCATTGCCTGGATGGTGACCTCTTGGCACAAGCTGTAATGTTGAGCCGTTGTCTTCTAACATTTAAATCTAAATGAATGAAAAAAGCAAGCACTTATCTCAAAGTATTAAATTGTGACTCAAACTCATGATCATGCCCTTTCACTGTCTGTTAGTTAACACAAAAGCCTGTTCTCAGCAACCGGCTTATATGCAAAGCAAGTGCAGCTGTTTATGGTGCGACACATGCAAATGAAAAGAGACTGACACATGCAAATGAAAAGACAAAATATTCTGTGAATATGCTGACATTTGGAGTTAGAAGAGCGTAGCCAACTCATTCTTATTTCAGTCAACATTATCTGTTGTATATGATGTACTGGCATATTTTGCATACAGAGCTGTCGGTGGCCTATATTCCAGTAAGACATCTAGACTTGCACATCCTCACTTCATTCAGATCAGGGTAAACATGGAGTCATCACCTGTCCCTATGTACATAGGGAATATACTCACTTTAACAATGTCACTAAGCTGCTGTTGTGCTGACAGTGTTTTTATCTCTAGATGTTGTCGTGTGCAATCAAAATAATGTTTTTTCTTCCACTGGAACACACACTTTTTACTTCGTGCTGAATGTATAAAACCATGCTCAGATGTTTGAATTTATAATAATATAAAATCTAATATTTTGTCTGTCTGTTCCTCATTTTCAGGTGTGATCTAGGCTGCTGCTTGATCCCCTGCCTGATTGATGACCTCAAGGATGTGACACACACCTGCCCTTACTGTAAGGGATACATTTACACATACAAGCGTATATGCTAACCACCGACAGCTGTATGCTACAGAGACATGTACAAGCACACACATAAACTCACAGCTCCTCCTGCTGGTAGTGACAAGCTCTTTTTTCTCCCCCCATTTTTGCAAAGTGTTGTGTAGCCCTCTTAAATTGTAAGTGCAGTTTTCTCATGAGTTCACCGAATATTTACTGTATATATCTTTCGGCATAGTTCTTTCATGTATAAACATGCATTTAAAATTTACAAATGTCTCACTGAACTACAGAGGATGTCGGGCACAAAAACATTCACAGAGGTTGATAGGCAGCAGATATACAGGTGCATCTGATCCTATATGGAAACCAGGAAAAAAAGGCTTGTGATGTTATGCATGTAAATGGGGAAATGGGGAAAAAAAAAAAAAAAAGATTGACAGATGGCCTCACTTAGATAAAACTGTGAAAATGGTCACTTTATTTATTTGAATTAATCTGTGAATCATGCTCAGAAGCAAGCATTTTGAAGTCAAACATGCTGGGTTAGCATTTTTTTTTTTCTTATTTATTTCAAATATTTTATCCACTATTTTAACAAGTTAATCTTAACAACTGTGAACATTTTTGTCCATGTCTGATAATTTTGTTCTAACAGGCTTAGTTTTTCCTTTTATCATGATCCCTTTTTGAATGTGAGCAAAATTAACCAGCCATTTTCAGCTTGATAAGCGGATGTATTTGCTTGTTTGGAAATGCCCAAGATTGATGTTACTTGCTATATTTATTAATCTTCTGGGCTTCAGTGAGCAGTAACAAAATATTGAGTGGTTTACAGTTGAGCAACACCCTCTGTCCATGATGTACTTAATTTTGAAAATAAAGCTAACATTTGCACTTTAAGTTGAAATTCATATTTTGCACTCTTGACAGATTCATAGAAACTATCATCCTAGACGAATCGTTTGTCTGAGGGAAAAAATGTGATTTACAATTCATCAGATGAGTGAAAGCAGTGTATAAGTTTGGCTTTCACTGGGTTAGTTGTTAGCTCATTATGGTGAACCCCACCATACCGGCACTTATTCAGACCATAGTAGAATTGAAGTAGAGTTGGCAGACAGAGGGTTTTTACTGTTACTGATGGAGATGCAATGCATGGACATCTCGGTAATCTTGTGTCTGGCCATATATTCTCATCAATGCTGTTGGCTGATTTTTGCTGCCAAAGTAAACGGGTAGCTAGTTTTAAAATAGAAACACTGGTTGACAAATAGAAGTGGTGGCACCATTGTCACATAACACTATTTAGGCTGTTACCCTCTTAATATGGCACCAGCCCTTTAAGATTACCTGCATTGCTCAGATGCATGTTAGTTAACAAATACAGATGTCTTTTGGCTAATATTGTTATTACAAAAAAAGTAATCTCTCTGCTAGAATAAGCTTAAAATAAATGATTGTATAAGTCATCTTGCAAAATGACATTGTGATTCCATTGAGATTAATACTAACAATAAAAGGACCACTGTATCACCACAGCATGCCCGATCTACCATTCACCATTGCTCAGAGTGCAGAGTTGCACTGCATGAGCCACACATCAAAATGAATAATTCTCACTGGTTAGTTCCTTGACTCTGTGTGCATTTGATTTTTTTTTTCTCTTGAAGCTAGCTAAGCTGTGCAAGAGGGTCCATTTTGAGTTAAAGGATTGCATTAAACTTTTAATACAAAGTACAGTATGCCATTGTTGTGGATAATGCTGGTCTGCATTGCTCTCTAAATGTCTGTGATATGTATAACTATGTAAGTCAAAATTTGTTTGACTGTTGTATACAGGTACTATTTTATCAATAAAAATCAGAACATGATTTTTCATTGAAACTCATTTTAATGTTATCTGGAAACTTCATTATGCCTAGAAAATGAATGCTGTATGTAACTATAATCTGCAAAGTCAAAAGGAAAAGTGCCTCCAGCTGTGCACAAATCGGAAATAATCAAAAATCAGAGCCTGATGGTAATAAATAAAGACTCGAAGATGAATACTCTATGCCACTTGAGCATTAAATACATTAAAACTTTCAAAGAGAAAAGGTGTCAATCCCTCCACCGATGTCCACACTGGGCATTGCAGCATTTGTAGAAAGTCGTCATTGGTTCATCTGCTGATCTGGTCTGAATCTGCATGAAATACGCCCGAGGATGCTCACACTTGGGACAAGTTTCTGAGAACCGAGACAAATGGAAAGTGTCACTCCTGGATCACAAGGACTGCTGGGTTTAACACATTTGGTTTATAGTATAAAGAGAACAAGAATCAGCTGTCGTGAGTCAAATTTTCACAAGAAACATTTCCGTGAACAGCAAGTCACATTTAAATGTCTGTGTGTGTATTTAAAATAGATGGTTTTTGGGATGGCATTAGAATCAGAACTAACTTCATCAGCCAAGTAAAATAGACACGAGATTAGTTTCTGCTGACATTCTACTAAAAAGCCCAACTGTACTGTACAAATCGGACTGCATGCAATTCTGTACACATTATGAATGGTGCAATTTGATGGTGATACATGAAATAAAATAACCTGAAGTTAATAAAATACAATATAATACTGCACACAGAATAATGCACACCTTGTGACATCAAGGTCTGTGTCAGTCAAAAATACTGAGTTAGACTTTCATATTTTATGTTACAGGTTTAGTGTGTGTTGCTGTGGGCAAATTACAACATCAGAAAGGACTGAGTGACCCAAGTAACTATCACAATATTCTGCCACCGTGATGACGGTGTAGTAACAGACCCTACTCTACTGAATATGTTCACTCCATTATTAAGAGCTTTCACAGAGAGGATTTTATAGACAGCTCGCAGTAAAGTGTGTGTACCAAAGTGCATTAAGACAGCTTTAGTAGAGAGACACTGCCTCATTCAAATACTGCATCAAACACCCATACAGTTGCAAAAGGCTGCTCAAATGTCAAATTGGACCCCACCCCCTCCTTTTGGCAGATGTCACAGCTTGCAAACACTTTTTGTCACCAGCTAAGAGTTTTCACCTTCTCCTCATGCAGATCACTTTTGAGTTCCAACATATTTTAAGTTGTTTTACACACAGCATGTTCAAGATCTACCCACAGATTTCCAATGATGTTCAAATCAGGGGACTATGAGGGCTGCTCCAACAGCTTCAGCTTATGTTTCTTGAAGTAGTTCATATTGGATTTTGAGGCCTGCTCATTGTCCTGTTGTAGAAGCCAGCCTCTCACTGACTGCAGGACATTAGCACCCATTGTATTTACTTCTTTTTGCTTAAAAAACACGTCTTGCCCAGCAAACAACTGGGCAAATTTGAACTTAATAAACTCAAATTTCCTTTTACTGTCATGTTAGTAGAAACCACTGTAGAGATCTTGGATATTACTGATGAGACAAAACATGTATTACAATTCAAAGTAAGGGGTACTGTCATGTGGGCAGCAGCGCATTACAGTCTGAATACTAATACAAAGCAGAGCAATATAAAACAGAGACAATGAGGGATTTGGGTTCATAGACTAAAGTTTACAATCAAATTCCCCAAGGAAAGGGACGCCGGAGCTGAAACCTGACTTAGTCTCACTTACCAGCAGTTGAGTCCACGTTTTCCCAAGCTGCAGCTCCACCAAGAACATCATCCACCTCTTTTAACTTGGGATACTTTCTGTTGTTTACCTGCAGCCAGAAAACAAAATGCACCTGTGAAACTAGGAGCAGTGTCTCCAATACAAAGCAAACACAGAATGACTGACTCCAGATAGGACACAATGTGTGTGTGTGTGTGTGTGTGTGTGTGTGTGTGTGTGTGTGTGCGTGTGCCATGCTGTTTTACCTTTCTTGTGATGTTGTGTACATAGGGACAAGTGTTACAGGCGAACCTCATGCACTTCTGCCCTTCCTCGACAATTAAAACGTTCCCACAGGTCGGACAAAACAGAAGCATGTTAGCCGAGGAATATGTGTACTTACAGCTGCAAACCCAAAATAACAAACTCGATTTAACTACACTATTTCACACAGACAGCTAGCTTCTTCAGTTTCGCCGCTGTAAACAGTCTGGCGCATGTGGCGGAAGAGGCGCTGATGAAAGCAGGAGTCCCCTTTTTTACAGCTCGGCTGGAAACAAAATTTAAAAACAGAGTTGTTTTGAATCAAAACAACGAACTCATCCGAATAATCATGTAGCCTTAAATGATTATTATTTACATGCGATAACTGACTATTTAATAAAATAATTAAGCTATGTCTGAAATTACGTCCACTAAGGGGAACGATGTATATTGAGCAACGTTATCCTTCCGGTATATCATTTGTACCGTACACAGTTATTTACTTGCATGGGTTCGTAGTTTCCAGTTGAGAAGATAAAAGGTTTGTCCAGGGTATTTGGTGAATCTGAGTCTCAGTAAAGCGGCTCTGCTGCTGCTTTAGCTCCTGGTGATGGAGGAGCAGAGTCGAGACACCGTTGGAGGAGCACAGTCTGCGGGGGAAGATGAGGAGGAGATGAAAAAGGAGGACCTGGCAGATGTGGCAGCACCTGATGCAGAGGAGGAAGATGAGGAGGCTCTTCCTCACTCAGAGATCCTGGATATTTTCGAGGAGGGACTTGCCCGACTTGTGCAGGACCCTTTACTCTGTGACCTGCCAATTCAGGTGCCCTGTCCATCATATACTGAGATGTCTATAATTCAGACCCACACTTAAAAAGTTAAATTCTGTCTCCACATTTCACAGAAGCCAGATCGACTCTCTGTAGACCTCTGAGATCAAACTGTGCTTGTGTATGAATCAAAGGAAGGACATGTAAACTTAAAAAACACTGACAGTTCCCATGTAGGTTGATAAAAGACTCTTGAACAGATAAAAGACCAGAAAACCGTAGTCACTCTACAGTGCCTCAGTTTCTCTGAAGAGGTCTTCTATTTTTTTTAATTCATAATACACATTTTATAAACATGTGCTTTTGAGAATATGGTCTTGAGAGCTCAAGAGCCCAAGGTGACATCTTCTGATTGCGTTTTGCCTGATCAGGTTATCCATTAATAATAGACAAAGGAAAAATATTTACATCTGAGAAGCCAAAAGAAAAAACTTCATTTTTTTTTATCTGAAAAATGCTCAGATGATCAATGAATTATCAAGCTTGTTGGCAATTCATTTTCTGTCGATTGGTTATTTAATATATTCAATAATCATTGTGTGTTTCTAGGTGACTCTGGAGGAGGTAAATTCTCAGATTGCTTTGGAGTATGGTCAGGCCATGACCGTGAGGGTTTTAAAGGCGGATGGTGAAGTAATGCGTAAGTGTTTAACTGTTTCTGTGCAGTTTATTTATTCTGATTACATCTTTTCTGTTTTTTCTTCAATGGGTGGACATCACTACACAATTTGTATTATTATTATTATTATTTTAAATAATGTTTTTTTTCAATTTATTTTTCCATTTATAACTATTATTTAAAAAATGTTTCTCCCTAAGCCATAGTGGTGGTGCAAAATGCAACTGTCCTTGATCTGAAAAAGGCCATTCGCAGATTTGTGGAGCTGAAACAACAACGTGAAGGTGGAGTGAAACATGTCAGCTGGTAAACACATGCATCCAAACACACATGCACACACACACACAAACACAAGAATTTTAAAGAGATTTTAATATTTGTAATGATTTGCCTCCTTCCTTTAACAGGAGATATGTTTGGAGAACGTATCATTTGGTGTTTCAGGGGGAAAAGCTTGAAGATGACAAGATGAGGCTTAAAGAGTAAGTGTATAGATTTATCTCTTAATTTGACTGAGTTCATTATCATCAACACTGTTTGACCGGTTTTCCCTCTCTTTGATTTTAAATATCTTCAGCTATGGGATCAGGAACAGAGATGAAGTGACATTCATGAAGAGACTGAGGAAAAAGTAAAATATCACAGTTGAAATGACGTTGACAAGGTATTCATAATAATTCAACTTGTTTTATTTGAAGTGTCGAACATCTCTGTACACATTATAAACTCCCACGTTACAAACTCTGCTGTTTCTTAAAGGGACTACATGTAAATATGTGGAATACTGGCTGTTAAGCCCCCCCCCCTTCTTTTTTTTTTACCATGATTTTTGTATAATTTTCTGCAAATATTAAAATATATGACTGTATTTTATTTTATGTTTTGGGTGTTTGTGTCTTATTTGAGCTTGCATCTCAAAAGGAGCGTCCTGTAACATTTTCCTTAGGGGGCAGTTTTAAATGTAACCTGACGATTTGAATATTTTCCTGGTAGAGGTGAACACTGCATGCCCTTGTTTACCTAGTTTGAATGTTACCTGCACAGGACACACTGGAAGCGGCGTAGGGAATTAGGTAATGCACATTGTTTTTCTTAAACATAATAATTTTCTGTTTAATACGGTTCGAAGTAGACTTTATGAAGACTAGTAGTTGAGATGTTGGAGTAAGGTTTCAGCTTCTTACAGTGTAGTAGTGAGTACAGTTCAGTTACAGTGATAAGCACTGGACTTGAGATTTATGTTATGCTGTTAATGCGAAGTGTTGCTTTGAAAATTAACTTCCAGCATTTTAATCTACAAGTTTAAATGATTGTTTTGATACATCTGCTGCCTCAACACGTAAAAAACCCCCAAAAATAACAAATTGTTTTACAGATTTTTTGTCTATTTGGTTTTTTTTTTGTTTTAAAGGAAATCGACTCAATCTTAAACTTATTTTATAACCAACCAAACTGAAGTGGGTGTTTTGAAATATGAATTGAATGTATAGGACTTGGTACAGTGAACAGTAAGAGTGCCTTTCATGGCCTTTCACTAGTTTGTCTAATGTAAATTTGTGTTTACTGCTCACAAGAGATTAACAATAATACACTTCTTCTGTTGTATAATTCAGCCATAAATGGATAATGTACCGCCAACACAGAAGGCGTCATAACAATAAGCCTCTTTACTGAATCATTTGGTCTGCCATATTTTGAATCCTGTGTGTCAGTTCATATTTCAGGTGAAATATGCAAACGGTATCTGTAAATACATTTTCCTGGATGAAAGGATTTAAGATTAAAATGTGAATGTGAGAAGAATATTATTAGTTATTTAGTTATTTATTAGTTATTTGTTATTATTACAGTATTATTGATCTGCTGTAGAGAGGTGTTAATTTTGAAAGTGTGGTCACATACAGCATGCATATATCTTTGTCAGTAACATTTAGTCTTCTCATGACAAAACCTGCTAAATCCAACTTTCTTTTTTTTTTTTTTTTTTTTTGCATTTCCACTATAAACACACAGTATATACACACCTCTAAACCACAGGAACATTGTGTACAGTGAAGACCCTAACATATGAGATTTAGGCTCAAAAACAATCCCACAATCCCTATTTTCAGTCTTTTCAGCTTTCACCATGACGTCGTCAGAGAAAGATCTGAAGAAGATATCCTCAGAGCTGAACCACCTTTCACTCAAAAGGCAGCAACTTCTGGAGAGGAAGAAAATCCTGAGAATATTTCAGGAATTAAGGAATCGTGCCGAATTTGGACAAACAGGTGACATGTGGAAGCAAGAAAGAAATTTCTAAGCAAAAATGAGAGATATTTGGCACTTGATAATAAAGTAGCTAAGTCTTTTGCATATTGCACACCAAGAATACTTATTCCCTAGTGCCTCTGCTGTCATATGTATTTTGTTTTTCTACCAGAGGAGGCAGCCTCAAATCAGTCTGAGATTGACAACATCGATGACAAACTGAAACAACTGACTGAAAGAAAGGCTGAGCTCCAGAAAAGCCGCGACACCCTCCTCAGTGGCGATGATAAGATGAAATGCATTAAAGGTGAGTTCTTATTTACTGCAGCAAGTCATCACTCACTCCATCGTACTTTGAACTTGTAACCACCATTTTTTTTTTTTACCTTCTCTGTTAGAGGTTACGTTCAAGTCCACTCAGAAGAATGAGTCTGGTGATCCTGATCCTGCTGCTGGCATAAATATTTTCTATGTTGAGGCTCCACCTATGATCCCTGGTGAGTCAGTGATGCTCATTTTAACACTCACACCTAGTGAGGACAGGATGGAGGTACTTCAGGGTCTGCGTCAGGCCTACATCGGTATAAAATGACAAAAAATGACAAAAAATAAAATATTGTGCTTCATCTGGGCAATGCTTTTGCACTAATAAAGGTGAAAAGCTCATTCATTTGCTAGAGTGCTTGACATTCACTAGACTACTGTTGTACTTGAACTGAAAAAAAACTAGATCTCATCATGAGCTGTACAACACTCTGCAGCCCATGAAACCTATTTATTCTTCCAATTCATCTGATTGTCAAAGTTTTTGACGACACAGCCTGAACATTTGTTTTTATTTCTGAATGATTTAGAGAAATAATGAATGAAAACAATTTTTTTTTTTAATGATACAACTGTCACTGTCGCATTTCTTCTCTTCACAGCCCCTAAAGTGATTCTGGACGTGGAAAACCTTCCCCCGTGTCCATCCAGGACACAGTGCCCAGAGTGTCGGCAGTTCATCATGACAGAAACTTTCACCTCAGTCAGCAGTGTGACCTGGCTGGTGTGTGTCATGACAGCTTTGATTGGGTATGACACCCCCCTCCCCCCTTTGTCCTGGAGAATTATTTGCCTGTTTGTATTTGTGCAGCCATGCGCATCTACTGTATGCCTCCATTTCATTTTTGTTCCTGTTCCTTGTTTCACAGCTGTGTGGCTGGTTGTTGCCTCATTCCCTTCTGCCTCGATTCGTTTAAATCTACCACACACAGATGTCCAAAGTGTCGAACATCAATCAGCACTATTAAAAAGCTCTGAGAGGAGAGCATGTGGTTCGAAGAGTGAAGAACACTGAAGCGTTCAACCTAATGGTGAAGTAGTATTTCAGCAGCATGGCGCTCTTGTGCTCTTTTTTTTTTTTTAAATGGAGCACAAGCCACAAGGGATGTGTGATGTTGACTTCCACAGACTGAGTGTTTGTAAATGTGTATTATATATTAGATTTTTAACCCAAAGTGAATTACATGAACTACATGAATTTAAATACACTGCAGTGCTTCTCTATTAAGGCTTGTAAACAGTCTTTTTGTTAAAAACACCTACAAAAATGCAACCTTTTGTTGTACAGTTTTTTTAATGACAAGCACTGAAAGGTAAATGATGTACTGCGGATGCTCATAGGCCGAGTGTGAAATCCCAAATATTCTCTGTATTTACAAAAAAGAACTGCTACATTTGTATAAAAGGTAACATAAATACACAATGTGTAAAACATGTGGCATACAAACTATGCATTAAAATGTTTCTTGCTGTTGCGTTACACTAGTAAAGACAAAATCATCTCATTCCAGCACATAATCCGTAAAGGGTGACATTTGAATAGTCAAATGAGGCACTAAAAAAAAAAAAAAAAAAAAAAAAAAAAAGGAACCAATCACATGAGTCCTTTTCACAACAGTTCCTTAAACATTCAGATGTGTTCGTAAGTGATGCTCCAGATAACCTGCAGAGGCAGACGGTGAATCCGTAACAATTCAACAAAACAACAGAGTCAGTACACTGTCCATTAGGCTCAAACACACCCACCCACTCCAGCAGCGGAGCGCCAAGACGCTGTGCTGCTGTCGTGCACCGTGTTGTGCATAATGGTTTATTTGACACTGAATTTTATTTCCTTCATACCAGAAGTCATCTTTTGCATAACAGAAAAGCAGATGTGGCCAGCAGGTGTCACTACTACACAAATCAACTGTGTTGCATTAGGGTTATTTCAGTATAAAAAGAAGGTAAAACACAAATGCACTCTGGATCATACTCATGAATACTGTTATATCTCTGTAGGTTGTGTGTTTGTGTGTAATGCTCTGCACAGAGATCATGCCCATGTTTGCACTTCTACCTTCTTGAATAAACTACCTGACCGAAAATGAAGCTGACCTTAATTCAGTCATTTTAAACCCTGGAAGAGTCAGTCTGCCAGACTTAAAGCAGCGAATGACGTTCCTATGACAGTTTATTATTATTTATTTGGACAGAGTCTTAACAGAGCAAGACTGTAACTATAAGTGAAGATTCTCCTTTTTTAAGCTTATAGGACAACTGGTCTTACAAGATTACACACAGTGTACAGATGCACACTCATTTTTGTAGTTTTCCCATCACTCATGATAGTAAAACAAGATTTGTCTGATCTGCAAGAACTTCTGTCAGACATGCTTGACATTTAGTTCTTGTGTGTTTACAGTCTATTCTCATAGTTGTAATTTCTGCTATTACCACAGTCAACACAACAATGTACATTCATAAAAATCGGAGGGCAAAGAGGACAAACGTGAGAAGAGATTGATAACAAACCAGCGGCATAACTTAAGATTGAAATCTAAAACAGCCATTAGCAGTCCAATGTTATGTCAGTCTCCACAGATAACCAGAGGGTTTACAGACCTCAAAGGACTGATTCATCTTGTCAAAAAGCAGAGCAGAGCTACCCACAACTCCGAACAGCTCTTATTCTCCCAGGGAAACAAATTAATTCCTCCCTTAAATAATTAAAAATGATATTTATCTGAAATGGCCTGTAGGTGTATAGAATCCACCTTAACAGAACCCAGTCCCAGTTCAAGTGCAGTTGTTCTGGATTTTGTCCGTCTTCAATAATGTTTCAAAACATCCATTGATAGATTCGTCGGAGCCGAACTCAGATGAACTTGACTTTATCTTTATCACACAATCATTTATTTTTCGGGTAACAGAGAGCACAAAGTACAAATCTGACATATTAATGGTCTGGATCCAGATTGCAGAGCTGAGATATTTTCCCGGACTGCACTTTTAAACCTCTGTGACCCCCTTCCTCTCCTATCCTGCACTCCTCCTAGTGAGATGGGATGTGACTGATTGGGCAATAAACACACATGGGACACTCGCATAGATATGACCATGGCTAGTGTGCTGCTTCAGCCATTAGAGGGTTTGTGTCCCATCTGCACACCACAGAAGGCTTCTCCTGCAGTTCGGTTAGCATTAGGTGGTGTGTCTGACTCTACACCCGCTACCTTTTCCCAAAAATTGGCAGTTCCTGATGCACACTCATTCTGGAATCCACTAGTCCAAGTGACATTTTTCCTGCTCTTCTTTGCACAGTTACATGAGTAAATGTACTGTTTGATTACAAATAATACGCAGTAAATGGATTACATACAAGTAATATACTGATTAATATGCCTTATATTGATAACACACCAGTTATGCGTTGATTGATGTAAATTACCTCAAATCCATCAACACAGTTCATGAGGGTCCAGGAAGTCAGAGGAGAAGACACCCACTGGTGTTGACATGTCCAAAGGGTTGACCCCCTCTGCTGGCACAGACAGGGTAAGGTCCAGCCAGTCCATATTGTCAATGTTGGTGTTATGCAAGGTCAAAGCAGAGGGCGGTGTGTTTTCATTAAAGTCCACATCCATGGCGTCTATGGGTGAGTGTAACTCCTCCATCAGCTTCAGTGTTTGTGGCTCTGTGTCAGCACCTAGTGTGCAGTCCAAGAGGGTGTCCAGCTGGGTGTCAGAGGTCAGTGCTGCCAAGGTGGTTGAGGGTTTAAGGGGTGAAGAAGGCAGCTGGGCCACTTGAACCATGGGAGGAGGGCGTGATAAAACCATGTTGATAGGAAGGGTGGTAACGCTGGCGGTCACAGGGAGAGGCTTGTCCAGGCTGGGAGGATCCTGTCTGATGAAGGGGGAGATCTCTGGAAAAACACATGCAGAACAAAAAGTGTGAAAATAAAAAAAAAACATTATTATGTTGAATTAAAAAAAAAAAAAAAAAGTCCAGTATTTCTCACCACCGCTCTCAATCAACACGTCAAACAGGTCATCCATCTGCTGGCTGGCTGCAGTGGGACCCTGCAGAGGAACAGTAACCAGCAAATGTTTCAGTGGCTATAGTAACAACTTAAAGATATATAATGTACTAAACAGTACATTTCATTGTTATTTCATTTTTCACCTGAGCGGCTGTTAGCATGCTGCGTGTCTGTTTAACTGCATCCTCATAGCGGGGTGGGTCTTTACACTTTGACACATGGTTTGTGAATGTTGGCTGCTGAAAGATCAACGGTGGCTGGCTGGGACCAGGAGACTGTTTAAGAGGAAAACACAACAGTCACTTACACCAAATGGAAAACAGGACACATCTCATACAAACCGTCATTCAAATGCAGCTCACATTGCACAAAGAAGTAAAACGGTTATGTGACGGTTATGCATTGATTATGAAAATGACCTCGTTTCCATCAACACAGTTCATGAGAGTCCGGGAGAAGACGGCCACAAACGGTAAACATCAGTCTAAACAGTGGCTGCAAGGTGCTTTGCAGGAAAAGAAAAAAGAAAGAGAAAGTAGAAGAGACTAAAGGGTCATTCTCTACCTTATTCCTCGGGCCTTTAGGGACGGGCTGGTTAGCAGCGGCTCCTGCAGGACATCCACTTGCTGGGAATGTGTTGAGTAAGCTTTGTGCTGTGGTATCCATCCTCCACGTCTGAAGGGGAATTTAGACAAGTCAGCATGGAGGCATGCATTAATGCAATCAATGTGGATAAATGCTTTCTGCTTCTACGGAAAAGTAGTGCATTGCAACACGCACTCTCTGTGGGAGATACTTCTGTTTAAGTATCCAAGCAGCAGTGAATAGTGTAGCTGGGAATAAGATCAAATGCTTTTAAGCAAAATAACTTAAATTGAATTGCTGTGGGCCCTCTTTGGCTGAGGCATCACCACAATTCAGCCCTCTAGTGACAACAGTGTTTGCAGTGCTATGCAGTACAACTCATGAGTGCTGTGTTTGCATTGAGCTGCGGTTTCTGTTGCTAATTCTGGCTGCAAGCTAGGCTCCGAGCAGAGGGACGACAGAGGGCAGTAAGGGCGAGATGGTCAGGCCTCACTCAGCACCTGCTCCAGAAGCCCATGTTTCCACAGGCCTTCTTTTGATGTGAGTCGAAGATTTCACCACCCAGCTGAGGCCTGTTATTACCGTGGCAACAAGGACGATGTATTACCCATGGTAGTACGTAATTGATTGTTAGTGAGAAAAACACATGATATGTGATATATCGGGCAGTGCCATCAAAAACATTGGACCACATCTATGATGTGCAACTTAATGACAATTTACTGCACAGAAAACAGACTTTATGATTTCAGGTGCACACACGCTTCACGTCCGGGTGATCACATACAATTCAAGTGTGTACGTTTTGAAGGAATCCAAATCTAGCACAAAATCACAGCTGATAGTGTTGACTAATAAGGAGGCAGACCGAGGCAGTCTGCGCAAATGTGTTTTCTTACCTTTGTCAGTGACTGAGTGTGAGTGCTGCATTGCTGTTGTAATGCTGCTGAGGCCTCTATTTTCTGTGGCACCTGTCCAGAGGTCTGGATGAGGCCTGCGGCTGCGCTGCTGACAGTAGGATGTAATTTGATGCCGTTGGCTGGGAGCTGGATAGTGACTGCTGAGGCAGGAAGGGATGCAGGCAGGAGGATCTGTGCTCCAGCTTGGACAGACTGCAGGGCTTCAGGCTGCTTGATGGTCTGATGGCTGATGATGAATTGATTTGGAGCAGCTAAGTGGCTCTGATCTGCAGCTTCCTCCTGTTTGACCAACACTGGCAGACCAGGAGAGCTACAGGACATGGAGCAGTTTAAGGGGGACCTATTTTCCTCTTTAACCTGGATGGGAGCAAGAGGGCTGAGCTGAGGTGGAGAATCTCCTTGCTGACTCCTCTTCTCCACCTCCAGCTGCATCTTCAGTTCCTCCACCAGCCTCTGCTCCTGCTCCAGCTTCCTCATCAGCTCCTCGATCTGACGCTCCTTCTCATGCAGACGTTTGTCCTTTTCAGAGTCCTTCTCATGCAGACGTTTGTCCTTGGCACAGTCCTTCTCATAGGACCTTGTCTCTGTGGGAAACTCCTCCTGTGGAGCTCTCTGAGGGGAGCTCACACAGGGAGCAGCGTAAGTTGGAGACAGAGCATCTGAAAGATTTGCTGGACTGTCTGCCATACTACTGTCCTCTATGCCCAGACTGGACACCTTGGAGGCTATAGGGGACACAGGTGGGGTTAGCCTTATGTTTTCAGACTGTGAGGCTGTTGTGACGGCTGTTGTTTCCACGGTAGCAGCAGAGGTCTCCTGATACAACTTTAGCCTCTCTATCAGGTCTGTCTTAGTCCCAGAAACAGGCAGAGATCTGCGTTTTAGTTCCATTTTCAGCTCAGCCACCTGTAAACATAACAGATTATCATCTCAAAACTCTGCTCTGCAGCATGCATGAGGTGCATATAGTCAGACTGTGTGCAGGCAGCAATGCGTCACCTTCATCTCATCCAGATTAGCTGGTAAATGATCCGGCTTGCGGTTCGGTCGAGTGTGGCGGGGCTGCGCAGGGGCAGACGCAGCGTTTCCACTCAGAACACTGGAACAGCTGGTTTGTACCTCAGTTGCTGGTCTGTTGTAATAAGATGGAAGAAAAAGGGAGTACAGAGTCTGAACTATTATCCATTTTTCACAATTAACAGCTTCTGTGTAGGAAACCTTGGGCAGGAAATGTAAAGTATTTAAGACAAACAGCAGCTGTGGTCAAACAGTTGTGGCAGTGAGCTTCACATTCTCTAAAACCAGGTGTGGGTGTTTGATTGAGTTTGAAGAAAATTAAAATTCAAATGAAAAGGAATGTAAAAGGAATGTTTGTGTTGCTGAATGAAAACATACTTTACTGTGGCAGGCAGCAAGGCCTGGTAGTTGTACTGCTGCTGTTGCTGGCTTAAGATCTGCAGCTGCAGGAACTGCTGCTGCTGCTGCAGGAGGCGGGCATAAGCAGAGTCCATCGGCACTTCGTTGAGCTCCTGCTTCTGGTCCGGAGGAATGTACTGATGGTACTTCAGCTTTTTCACCCATGGTTTGGGCTCTTTGCTCTTTTTGCTGCGGCTTTTATCGCCAGGTATCTTGGGCAGGCTTTGCTGCAGAGCACAACAAAGAAAAGGGGCATGTAAAACCTGAGCGGACCATCTGGAGGAAATTTGATCCCTGTGACTGATCTCAGTCCAGTTTATCAGGGAATACAGATAGCATTGCCAGTACCAACACTGCAAGACTTGGAACTGATACTGGATTTTTATAGCTTGAAGCGCTGAGGTGGAACATTGTTCTGACACCCGATGAGAACTGCAGGATGAGGAAACGGGTAGTGGAAATGTGACCCTTATTGTTTTACCACCTGCAATTACAGGATACACATGAAAATGGCCTGGCATAAGAGCAGCAGGTTCTAACTATGAAACCAGAAACTCAAGTTGGGTTAAGCAAGCACACACCCTCCAATTTGTCAAATTCATTCCCCTATCATATTCCAAGGGAGGGAGAGTTCATCTTATGCTCGCAGGATAACTGGATTATGATAAATGCACAAGTCATTGCTTCACCCCCGTCCTTTGATTTTTGGCTAAGATTTTACGCAGCCTGAATGAGGAGCCTGCCTGAGCCAGTCTGTCATTTGACCCTAATTGAAGACAAACTGTGGCTGGCACAGATTTAAAACCACGGATTTGTTAAATGACTTTAAACCCTGTTGTTCTTTGAACTGCGTTTGACTTGGCTGAATACTGACTTTCAGTTCACCCCTAAACTGAAGTGACTTTCAGAATGACAAAACACAGACTCTGTATCTTCTGACACTGTATCTATCATAACATTCCCAAAGGAAACAAAAAACCCACGCAGTAAATAAATCAGAGAGACAGAGAGCTGAGGACCAGCGGTCAGTTTCATATCAGCTGATTATAAACTAAATGAACTCATCCTTTAAAAAAAAACAATCACTGCTACTTAAGTTTAAGAAGACTTTGAAATGACCTCTGCCAAACTTGGAGCTCACCTTCACAAGAACTGGCCCTGGTGTGATACTGGGGACAACAGTGGGGATTGGCTGAGGTGTAGATGCTCGTGGATTGCTTTGTTGCTCGTTGGTAGAGACGAGGTTGACTAAATCTGGTGTGGACTGTGAGTTGGGTGGCGGGGATTGCTAAGAAAAGAAGAGACCGAGAAAAAAACACGTGAGCCGTTCAGTCAGCACAGTGAAGCCGCTACGCCTGTTAATCATCATCTCACGCAGGACAAGAAAAGCACCTCAAATGAAGTTGTATAACCAAAAACAGGTTAATAAACATTCAGAAAAAAAAAAAAAAAAAATGAGCACGATATGTTCCAACAAATTGTGAAAAATACATTATACATGGTTAGAACACTGTGTGCAAGCACTAAATGAAGTTAACTTGGGTTTCAAAATATTATTTTTCTCATAATTGAAAAATTTTACCAGTGACATCAGATAACTTCATTACGATCAAATGCAGTGTTCAACCTTCCCCACCATGAAAAGTTTCTTATAATTTTATGAATCTAGGTTAGAAAACTTGAAACATGAAGAAGGATAGTCTATGATTTAAAAATTGCAACAGTTCACAGTATTGGTTTACCTGTTTGGGAGAGTTTAACTGAGAGGAGGATGAAGTGGCCTCAGTCCCTCCAGACTCTCTTAGAGAGGCCGAGGTGGAACTGGGAGTTTCCTGGCTGGAAGGCTGTTCTGGTGATAAGGCATCACTGCTGTCCTCATCAAAGCTGTAAACATCTGGTGTCTTAGAGTAGTTTACCTTATCACCTATGAGGCCAACATCAAACATAAACAAGTACGCCTTATTATTTGTTTAAAGGGTATATCAAAACTGAACAAAAAGAAAGAATTTTTAGCATTTGCTGACAATTCAGACACACAGTGAATGCCGTCTGTGTATATACTGTTTATCTTTCATGACTGCAAAAGGAAAACTTGAGTTATCAGTCACTACAGAGTAAGGCAGCAATGTACACATAACAATACAGTAGAGATGTAACACCAGCCATGCTAGCGGCTCTGCACGTCAGCATGCTAACATAGTCACAGTGGCAATGCTAACATGTCATGTCATAAGTCATGCTATCACCAAAGTCACTAGGCTTCATCCTCTAGGTTCCAAATTCAGTGGTAATCCATCAAACAGTTGTTGAGAGGGTTGTTTAAGTAAGGGCCAACTTCTCAGTACCGGGCAGATAAGTTGCCCATCATTGAGTAACTTTCTGGGTGTCACTGTAAGTAGTGAATTGTTGGTGGTGAACATGACACCAAAGTGGGCTAAAACAATAACTTTTAATGGCTTAATGGCTGAGGATATAATCATGGTAATGAGTCTGTACCATTGGTGTCCTCTTCGCCAGCAGAGTCCACAGGCAGGATGTTCTTCTCCACCAGCTCCATGGGTCCAGGACGCTGGGCGATCTTCTCATTGAGATCATCAGCCAGTCTGGCCCTCTTCAGCTTCATCTGTGTGGCCTGCAGGGAGGGCTCAGCCTGGGTCTCTGATAAACACACAGAGGATCATTGGCTATGATCTGGCCAACATCCATCAGCCTCTTAACTGCTTCGTCAGGGTGACTCACAGCAGCTTCAGTCGGAACTCACACAGACATTTATCTGGTTTTAACTTTGTAAAACAAAACAGGCAGTAAGCTCAGACAGATGAATAACCACCATATTCATCTCCGTTATCTCACCACTATTAACCATTAAGAACACACAGCAGGATGATCACCTTGTAGGATGTGCATACGGACCAGCTCAGATCGCTCGGGTCTGCTGCAGAGTTTGTGCTTTAAGAAGTTTCCGGTCTGTTAAGAAAATGGACAGTTTTTTTCTTAATATTATGAGAATATAATTTAGATGTAGATTAATAAAATCATGATACCCTGCAGTGTTGATGACATTAGTTGATGTCTTACCTTAGCTCTCTCCAGGCTGCGAATCTGCTCATGAAAGGCCGCTGGTGTTTTCAGAGCTGTAAAAGGTGAATAAACAACATCTTCTTGGTCACTATGTTTCCACATACAAGCAAACTGCTCCTTCCATTTTAAAACAAATGATTTCTGCTGTTATGACAAAGTACCTGTAAGTTATTGATTTATTTAATGCACTTAATCATGATGTCCTTTTGAAATCTATACAGATTTTAAAATCATGGGCATCTAGTGTGTAAATAGGCCTAAAAAAGTTGTAATTACTTAGGAACAATATCAACTGGTCTATATATAAAAAACAAAAGATGATACGTCACTTCTTTGCATCACCGATGTCAAATCAATACAAACCGCATGTAAGTGATGACCTTCATTTCAGCATTTCTATTGTGTAGTAAAACTTTCCAAAGTTCTCTGGTCAGTTTTGGGACCTAGAATCCACTATATTGATAATTTATCACTTACATCTGGCATCAACTAGTTTTGGTTATACCGTGACTTAAGACACCACACCCTTATCGACCAACCTTCCATTCTTTTCAAAAGTACTAGAAAGAGCTGTGTCAGCAGCTTTCAGCTCACATATCTCACAGTAATCTTTTTGAACCTTTTCAGTCTGCTTTCAGGCCAAGTCACTCCACTAAAACTGCACTTGCTGACGTGGTTAATGATCTTCTGCTCACTACAGATTCAGATTCCACCTCTGTGCTTCTCTTACTTGTTCTCAATGCAGCCTTTGATTCCGCAGATCACTGTATACTCCTAGACCAACTGGAAAAAACATTTGGCGTCTGTGTTTTCTACAATAATAACATCAATATTTTCTGATGTGACATATGGAGTACCCCAGGGCTCTGTTCTTGGCCCTCTGTTTTTCCTCTCTTTATATTTCACCTCTTGGCTGAATTATAAGCAGTAATGGAATTAATTTCCACTGTTACGCTGAAGATTATATTTGATACTATGCGCTTATGATTTATATATATGATGATCATGATCATTTTTGTTTGATTTTATTTTCTTTCTTCTTCCTTTTATTTGATTATTGTATCTTACCTTGTGTTATCATTGTATTTTGTTGTCGTGAATTGAATTAATTAGCAGAAGTTCATATCGGCTGGTTGAATCGTCTTTTACTTGAACTCCACTGGGAAATGTTTCAAGTCAAGTCAAGTCCTCTTTATAATGTTTGGCCTGTGGCTGACCTTTCATAGCGCATTGACGTGGATTGTTGAATCACATATCTATCTTTTAGATGTATTTTGATTGACAACTGGTGTGTGCTATGATCTATAAACTGTAGAGTTTTGTTACTTCAATTCTGGCAGATGTCCTACCTTTACTTCACATGGTTCAGTTAGTTGATTAATTAATTAATGGTGATCTTACAATCAAAAAGCAAACTGTGAGGGAATTTTCTTTCTTTCAGTCTACTTTTTCTCAGTTTGCTGGCTCACACAAACTCTACAAGGGTAGGTTAGGTCATACAGAGCTCATATTGTTAGACAATAGCTCAATGTTTAACTTCCATTATGATGGATAATGTCCAGAAGGCCCCATTTCTACCCTCAGTAAACATGACAACCAAGGCCTTATAGATAAGGATGAGGGAAGAAGCAATAACTCAGAGAGGATCGCCCAGCTTCAGATAGTTCCAGATGCAGATAGTGATACTGTGTTAGTAAGGTACAAGGCAAGACGTGTAAAAATTATTAGGTAAGACATGAGATTATGTTTAGGTTCAAGTAACCAAAAGTCATATAGGTGAAGACTCTAGAATATTCTTATTTGAAAATGAGAGAAATGTGTGATGCAACATTGTGATGCCTGGTCTATATACACTCTGGAGGAATTGGTGTGGCATTACTCTGATTCACTTGACATTGTAATTCTCATCATTTCCCCTTGGCATGTCAAGCTTTCAATAAATACTTCTGCTTGAGACATCAGAAATCTCCTTCTGAACATCTGAAGTCTCCTAGTGAGCTCACAAGAATTTCCACAACAATACTCAGCTGTATTTTCCCATATAAACTAATGACCCTTCTCAAATGGTCAAATTAGAGACCTTGTCTGCTGTGAAAAGCTGGGTGTCAAACAAATGTCCTGCTCCTAAACCACCACAAGATCTCCAACTGAGATGGTGGTCATTGGCCCGACCATACATAGAAACCAGTTTGTAACAGTAACCTTGTGTGATTTATCAAAGTTGGACAGCCAAGAACCTTGTTGTTACATTTGATCCTGCCCTCTATTTTGATCAGCATACAGAAGACCTTTTTCACCTACATAACATAGATAGAATTTGGTCTTTTCTGTCCATGGCAGATGCTGAGACCCTAACTCACACCTTTGTGTTGTCCAGACTGGATTAATGTAATGTTTTTTAGGCCTGTCATTTGCCAGTACTAAAAGTCTTCAAATGGTTCAAAATGCTGAAACTGGATTTTTAACTAAATCCAGAAAATTTGACCAAATTACACCAATCTTTCATTGGCCCCACATCCATGACAGATTAAACTTTAAGGTGCTTTTGATGACTTACAAAATCATAAATGGGCAGGCCCCTTCACACCTGTCTGATCTCCTTAAACCTTATATCTGATCCTGTGCTCTTCCTTACATCCAATCTGTCAGGCTGCAGGGCCTATTCCTATCATGCCCTCTTCCTTTAGAATAACCTCCCTGCTGAGGTCTTTAAATCCAAACTTAAAATTCATCTTTTTATGCCTTAACTTTCAGTTAGTGTCTGGCTACTCCCGCCGGTGGGTGAGTCTCAATCTCAATGAATCCATTAAACCTAGTACGTACAACATAGTCCATGATATCCTGCTGACGAGGTTCCTGTAAACTTTCTGTGGTTATCAGAAAGTTTGTATTTGTATCTCTCTAATCCTCTGTTTGTTTATTCCCTGAAGCACATGAGCGTCCAGGCTGTGTGCCTCTCTCTCTCTCTTTCTCTCTCTATCCTCCTATTTTCTCCTCCCTGTCCTCTCTTTTCACTCAGGCTCTCTGTGCTGGACCATCTACCATCCTGGGACCTCTCTCCCTCTTCCGGCTGTCAGTGCCTCATTACAGATGTTTTAGATCTGGATCTTTGTCTTGGAGGAGTCCCAGCCTCCTCCCTGTCTCTCTGTCCGTTTGTGTGTTTGTTTCCTTCTCCTAGACGTGTGAATGATGTGTATGTTCGTGTGGTCTATCCTCTTTCCAAGTCTTTATGATGGAGAAGAGGTCATGTAGCTCAGATCTTATCTGTTGGCGACACCTGGAAGTTGCTCAGTGTCCTCCCAGATCATATTCTTCATTAATGTTACACTCCATGATGTTGTCATCCTGTTGGTCCATACTGTAGATCTACTTCTTTGTGTTTCTGCTCACTATACTTGACATCTATAGCATGTCTGTCTGTCCTGGAAGAGGGATCACTCTTCCTGAGGTCTTTTTTTTCCATGTGTTCCATTTATTTTTTATTTCTTTGGGAGTTTTTCCTCGTCTGATAGGAGGGACAGAGGGTGTCATAATGCTGCATAGATTGTTAAGCCCCTTGAGGCAAATTTGTGATTTGTGATATTGGGCTATATAAATAAAATTGGACTTGACTTGACTGTCTTCTCCTGGACATGGCAACAGTCACTTTCCACAATAACCTGGCTACAGTGTAATTTTTTCTATCATTATTTTCATGTGTTTTGTCTTTGTTCTGCATGAGTGTGACATTAATAATAAACAGAGGCTCATGGGAGTCCAACAGGAAGTGTCAGCTTTACTGATTCAAGCAGAGAGGAGATTGTTCCATGCAGAGAGTAACTCTTTGATCTCTCAGAATAAACCCATGCTGCTCTAGGCGAGGTCTGGCTCACTGACTAGTCACCTCTGCTATGATGAGCACTGTTTGCTTTAAAGACATTGGCTGGGGGGACGCTCTGAGGAGTGTGTCAGAGGAGCAAAGCAAAACATTCCTGCTCGTCACCTAAATCTCTGTGCATACCTACCATAAGACTATAAGTGTGGGAGTAGCAGAGTGCTTCAGTGGAGAATAGGAGGTTTGTGTGCAAGCCATGCCTGACCAGGCCACAGAGAGGGTGACTGACCTCCACTGAAGGCTCAGTCGTTGACTCATTTGGCTGCGTGGAGCCAGAGAGGAGTTGAAAACCTGACTGCAGGAGACTTCTCAAGAGAGAACAGGACAAAGAGGAAGAGCTGTGTCGTTTTCTCTTTCTACCTTCCCAGCTATCAGCATGATTCTGTCACAGATTCAGCTTGTCTTTTATTAGGTGTTCTCTAAAACACAATGCTCACCCGGGGAAAGTAGCACAGGGACTGAGTCTGCTCCACTTGTGTCACATCAAAGGATGAATCTGGATGGTATTAAAGTAGGAGCTAGTCCTTTCTGGTTTGGCACTGGTGTGCTGCTTGGTGGCCTATCTGTGTTAAATCTTTGAGTCATTCTCACCATTGCCTATATTTACATGAGACCAATGATGCAACTATTAGTGGGAGTAGAATAAAACCTGACTATTTATAGAATAAAATTGATTTATGTGCAGATAATGTAAGTTTGCCAATTACAAGAGACATTAAAACAATATGGCAGTTTAATGTAAAAACAATTACAAATGTAATCTTTTTTAAGCCTTGACGAGTGGTGGATTCGAATCATTTACTTAAGTAAAAGTAGCAATCACGCCACAAATACGCTCTCTAAAAGCCACGAAGATGCAGTACTCTGAGTGAAGCAGAAGATAGTTGTGAGAAAGAAAGGCACTCTGGAGTGAGGGCATCCTGGTTTCTTTCTTCGTGGCTGTCTGAATTTTCCCTACAGTAGTTGGCAGTCAATTAACCTAATTTTGTCAGTGTGAGTGTGAGGTAAGAGTTTTGTTAATGTGTGATGTGAATACTCACGTGGCATGATGCCTTGCTCCACAAGCTGCTCCCGAGTTCTCCTCTGCTGCAGACAGAGCTGGAGGACTGTGAGAGTGCAGAGACACAGAGGTCAGAGTTCAACTTTTACCATTCAGAGCCAACTCCGCTGCGTCAACTAACAACCATCTCTGGCTTTAAACTGTGAAACCTGCCAGACTTCAAATAAAACAAAGTACTTATTATTTCTCAATCAATATGCTACCCCAAAGGCCTGTTCACCACCACAGACATCCTATTCACTTCCTGTATGGTTTTAACTGGGGTTGTTAAAAGTACCGCACATTTGACAACAGTTTGACTCAAATGTGATTGGCTGAGAGCCTTCCCAGTGAGAGTCAATATCTGTGTGGGATGCAAATGCATTTAGGAATCATGCAACGTAACAGCAGTGCAGAACACAAGCAGATAAAAGAGGGATTAATGTTAGAGCTGCAGTCACGATAAGGAACAAAACTGGACATGGTCATGACGCCACAAAGAGCCGAGTGAGTTTTTAAAATGTAATCTTGCTGTGGAACATCAAAGACATGACTATCTTGCAGGAGAGACTGTTGAGTCCTGCATGTAGGCCCCACATAGAGTGGTTGTCCTCAGTCCTCAGTGTTGTTTTACCATCAATATAAACTGTAGTAAGACCTCAGTTTAAACATTTATAAACAAGGGAGCGTGGACATGTTATTTCAGTATAATAACACAGCTCCGTGCATGAAAAACAGTTTGAAGAGAAAGGTGACGGGTGATGGTGACGAATGAGGCAGCGGGTGTGAGCTACATGAGGCCCTTATCGTCACCACTGTAGTGAAGTGAGGCCGGCTTAGCTAGAGCTACTCAGTGGGCTCGAGGGGGGGGGGGGGGGCTACTCCCACACACACACACACACACACACCAGACCTGCTCTACTCTCCTGGGAAAGGCGCTGCGTCTGAACAGGCCTCTGTGAGTCACTCTAGCAAAAATAAACTGGGCAGCTGTGAGAACAAGGCCTGGGAACCATGAAATTTGGGGGTAGTTAAGGGGGTGGGATCTCCAGTTGTATGCAGAGCTGAGGGGACGTTCACGGGCTTCTACTGGTGGGCAAGGGAACACAGAGCGACAAGAGCTGAGGCAAAGGGTGGGAGGCCGAGTCCATTCTCACAGCAGCCCATCAACTGCGGGGCAGAGAACACAGTGTGCCTGCCCCGCCTGCTGTGTTTCCTATTACAAACCCAAGCCAGGGGGGTTATGGTCAGCATGAGACAGATCATACCAGGAGATTTAAAAAAATTGCCATTGGTTTGTTTCAATATTTATATCCACTGTGACTTGGAGAGAATGCCACAAGCTAGAAAATTTATGATTTCATATTACTACATATCAATAACATCAAAAGCTGCCTTCCAGCGCCACAAGAGAGAATGCAGAGTTTAATTTGAGCATCGGTATAGGGGTACACCTCATGCCCGGGGTCCTCCTCTCTTTCTGTCATCTTGCGTTCAACCTGAACCCTGGCTAACCTCTCCGTGATGCAAACCGGCTCCGCTCTCCTGCTCACCAGCAGAGCGTAAACAGAGGTTGTGGAGAGACACAGAGAGAGGACTCTGCTGAAATCCTTGCCTACTGATGTAATCTCTAATCTCAGACCCACGTTGTTCTCAGCAAATCATCCCTGGAGGTCTCCCATCAGACCCTTTATTTTATTTGACTTTTTTTTCCTTTTTTTTTTTAAGAAACAGTACAAATAAAAAATACTGTTTAGGGTGGCTACAGATAGTCCCTAGGCAGACAAAGCTGAATTTAGTTTAGAAACAGACTGACACTGGGTTATGTTGACTTTGCTGTTATAAATACCAAAGACTTTAAACAAAACCCAATTTTAGCAAAGATTTGTGCATCTATAACCAAAGACAGACTAAACCATGATACACAGATTATATTGGATTATCAAAAATTCCCTTTACTGCTTTCATGAGGGCAAAAAGTCTACCTGAATTGAATTTAACTGATAGACTTTGTGTTACATTGTAAAAAAATAATTGAGTCATCTTGTAATCATTCAAAGGGTCTGTAAACATATCAGCTGACTTCAGCTGACAGGAATTTTACCAACATTTATGTAGATAGTTTGTTAATGTAGACCAGTTTAACAGCAAATATAAAATACAGTGTCACTCATTTTATCCTATAATTGAAGAAAGCAGGAAATTTATCAGTGAGGTTTACACACAACAAATTAAATGGCTGTTACATAATGACTGAGAATGAATGGAAGGGAAGATGAGGCTGTTTAATACAGAATACAGAACTTCATAGTATTATTTTAGTCTGGTCTGGGTTTGGTTATTCAGGTTATATTTATGCAGGGCATGAATAATAATCTGTTGACATAGGATTTAAACAAAAAGTCATACATGCAAATCTTGCGTGATGGCCCTGATGGAAAGGAATAGACATTTTGCTTACTTTTTGCATGTCATATACACTATATCCAGCATTAGACACTTTTGTTATGTGAGTGCTGTTATGCATCTTCCATTGTACAGTATCACTTTAGCAAGATGCAGAAATACTGTATCTAAACACTGCTCCTTACATAGGTCATGAAGGTTAGAGGCTGCCATATATTTTCATCAAATGTGACTTCACTGATGTTACAACAACTTGGCTATAATCTATTATAGAGGCTAAATACCAGTGACATTTGTTTCTAATCATAAAAAGATGGATATGTTTTTTTTTTTTCTTTTGTTTTATTTTAAGAGTCCACATTACTCATGGCCTGGTCTAATCAAAGGAATTTGCAGCTGATGAATGCACACAAGGAAGATAAGAAATATTCAAATAATGACAGAATCTTGATCGGCAGCATGTCTGCGTATTGCACTTGATTTGAATGAAGCTCATTGTGTGTACTTACATTACAGATGTGAATTCATGCTTAAATTGTGTGACAGAAAACCATAACAACGTTTCAGCAGAGTGCCAGTATAAACATAGTCAGTATAAACCGATGTATTCTCTCTGAAATGTCTCTCTCACAGACTCTGACCGTCTTTGCAGAACAACTTCGATTCACTACCCATCAGAAATCAATAGTCTCTCCTGCAAGAATGATGCTTGGCATGAGTCACTGTGATGAGCTTTACTGTTGCCCTGTCATTTCCTGTTAGGGCTGCATCCACGTCACTACAACCCCTTTGCCACTGCTGCCAGCATCAGTTAAGACTAACAAGAGTAAAAAAAAAAAAAAAAAACTGAAAAAACTGAAAAAACTTGAGTTAACTTAATGCCGATATTCAAACAAAACAATGAAATGCATGCGGATTAGACAAGAAAAAGAAAGGAAAAGCACCTGATTTGAATTTACCCCTGCAGATGGAAGGGGTCTCCACATCAAGGCAGGCCATGGAGGACAGTGGTGGTTTGCTTGGCGGCCAGGTCTGGAGTCCCATGGAGTGATGAGGCCAGTGGAGAACGGGGGAGTGAGGGAGAGAAAAGACCCAGCTCTGAGCGAACGACAGCTGGCTCTCAGAGCTGCACACGGTCCCTCCTCTCTGGCTCTTTGCTGGCCTCAGCGGAGAAAGTGTGTGTGTGTGTGTGTGTGTGTGAGAGAGAGTGTGTAAGTGTGTGTGAGTGCTCAGTCAACGTCAGGAGGAGGGAACACAGTGCTGCTTATGTTAACCCTCGCTGGGTCACTTCGTTCTACTCACAGAGGACTCACCATACTACAACACCAAACCCTGGGGAACTTTTGATTACTTTGTGATTATCTCATAATAATCAATAAGTTTTGGTTTGGAAAATCACTCAGCAGGGCACCAAATCATTTACTGGTAAAAAATACAGAGTCAATGAAAACAAGCTGTTGGGGATTTTGAGTGAGTGTTTTTCCCCCCTCTATAAAATTTGTAACACTAAATAACAATGACAGGAACAAACACACTGGCTCCTCAAGGACATGGAAGCTTATCTTCAAACATTTTTTAATGATTAGTTGTGAGTTGGCGTTAATATTTGTAGTCATTATTGATTTCATTGGTATTTTCCATTACACCACCATTGATTTATAGCAGCTGATGACAATTTCATCATCAGCTGTTGTGTTAATTCCCAGGAATTCCAACGGGTGTGAAAAAAATGTGATGAGCAAACATTAAAATAAAACATATGAGGGATGTAAAAATTCAAAGAGGGGACCAAGAAGAACTAAAATGCTGTGGCTCATCCAAAAAACATGCTTATTCGTGGCTTACAGTGGTGGTTAGATGCCATTCATGACTACAAAAGCACTAACAGGAAATAAGATAAAAGGGAATTACACTAATTGTGGTGAGTTCCGTGTGTCTAAGTGGATCCAGGAAGGCTGGTTTGACAATATGTCAGCGCTAAAGAGCGGGCGTCATTTCCAGCAAAGGGTCTGATGTCAAGGTGAAGCTGCAGAGACACGGGATGCGTTCGGTCCTCCGGCTGTTCCTGTGATGTGTCTGAACAGGACAATGCATGCTGGGGAGGACGGGACCGCTGTGCTCTGGATTAATAATGTTCACTTGTGGGATCAAGAAGTATGCAAGTCAAACAGCATGGGGACAGGGGGAAACATGGAGCTGATAAAGTAAATGGGACTAGTACAGTCAGACGCAATATGTTATGACAGCTCACCGCTGAGATTGAGTAACGGTGAACAACAAGGCCATAAAAAATATGGGGGAGTTAGTTGGAGCAGTAGGAATGTGGAAAAACATCTTTCCGTATGTCACACTGTCCGTAAATACACAGAATTCCTTTGAGTTCACATTTCATAAGTGTGTTAGCCACATAAACATAACAACAGATTTTATGAATGCCTCATACACCTGATTTATCCCACAAGCAAAACCTCTCTCCAGCATCAAAGTCTGCTGTGGGCTCTCAAATTCCCACACCAGTCAAGAACAATGCTGTTTCTCATCAGCTCTCGTCTTAAACCACCAGGTAGTTTGTATTAATTCAAGATGTGTTCCACTCACATGGAATATATATTAAATTATATTCAGATCATCACTTTCATTGATGATCTACAGTTTAGACTTGAACATCCTTTTAGCACTGCAACTATTTCATTGCACTGACTGTTATTAATTGCCATTTCAGCTTGATGATTATCACGCTCACTACATTATTACATCCACCTGCTTCCCACTGGCCATTTGTTTTCACTATCTTACGAATTTATAATTGCTCATTTAGAACAGAGTGAAAACACATGAGTTTGCAGCTGCAGTCACGAAGCAGTATTTGATCAGGTTTGTGTTGCAAGATCAAAATTTGGTAACTCTACAACAAATCATAACATTGTCTTAAAAAGGTACCATGCAATATGAGAAGATTAAGTTGGCATTCACACTGTAGTTCAAAATTATAAACTGTTGCCTTTTATTTTTGGTCCCATTTGTATTCACACTGACTGTGCACATAAACCCAGAGGCGTAAACATGAAGTCACATGGACCAACAGGTAACCCATTCGGTGCCTCCTGTATAATCAGCACCACACGGACCCACCCGACTGATAATATTATTGCTGCTGAAAATCACATACTGTAATATGTTCTGGTTTTACTTGCACACTCTATTGCTACAGTATGAACGGCACCCCCCTTCTCAGGTGGCCTTGGTTGTTTACCCCACACCAGAGTTTGATTGTAGGACTTTGGTTTGGTTTTATTCTGTCATAAAACAACCTGCACACAACACATAATACTTTCGCACCAACCTAAACAAATCGAGCTCAACTGACAAAACACACCAGAGTTGCTGTAAACAGAACACAAACAGATGAGGTGTGAAAGCAGCCTATAAAAAGCAGTTTAAAGCTTTATGTTATAGCCGACAAATTACAGTGGGCGTGTGGGTTTGAGTATCTATAAAATACTTGGAATACAATGGAGGGAGAATAAAAAAAACTTGCATGTAAGAGGGACAGAGAACAGGGCTATTGGGCTAAATAACAGCATAGTCACTTACTAATAATACTAAGCTACAATTGAGTGGGGAAGAATGGAAAAGAAGCGAGGCAGTAAGCTCTCAATTGTGTTTTATCACCACTGAGGGACAGAAAAGTCTCCACAATAATTCACTGCAGAAATGAACTCCACAGCTAATTTTCCTACTGGAAAACCTGTTAATCATGCTCACTCGGCTTCATCCACAGGCTCCCAACTAAGGCTGAGCACCATAGATCTTCAAGTTAATACAAGGAGAAAAACATTGCTTCATAGTTATTATATAATTTTAAATAAATTATGCCCCTATACTTAGTTTATTGGTTCCTCAAGAATCCTCAATACAATTTTCCCCACACTTTCTTCTGATTTACAGTGTAATTTACTTCTATGACCCTCTTATATAAAGAAATTGTACTGTTCTCTTCTTCCTGTGCACCTACATATTTGTGCCAACACTAACTTGGCATCAAGTTCGAGGCCTTCTTTGTCATTATGCATAATGAAATTACTGTGAACATCCTCACAAATTTTCTATTACTTATACCAGATTATTAAAAGTGATGGGTTCTTGGTAGCTTGGTGAGAACCAGGATACCCAGTGATGTGTATATGACATTTTTCTGCCATATGGTAAGTAAAAAAAAAAAAATATTTGTAACATTAATCACAGGCAGACAAAACATTTTGGTGACGCAAAATAACATTGCTGTAAATACATAACAAATCCATTTTCCCAAGGAAAGGCTTTGATTTCAGTAACTAAGCTGTGATTATGTGCTGGCTTCAAGAGGCATTTCTGATATAATTCCTTACTTAATTCCACAAACAAATCACTGAAGAGTTTGTTTTCCCACAGTGGCCTTGCTCTTAAATGGTCAACGTAAAGTATGTCTTACCAAACTCTGATGTTTTGGTCACTGATTCTGCCGCATTGAGTTCCACTCACTGGTATTGTAGGCCTTGAGGCAGCAGCAACAGTGGCGGCGGCAGCGGCGGCAGCAGCAGCAGCAGCAGCAGCAGCAGCAGCGGCTGCTACATTTCTTCTAGCTATGCAGGAAGGAGCGAGGCCTTCTTGGACATCAGTGAAACACGACTCCTGATGAGCTAGGAGGACAGGAATCATTGTTCATTTATACTGGATTATACTGAACAAAAATATAAGCGCAACACTTTTGTGTTTATCAAATTTGTCATGAGTAGAAAATCCATGTTAATGAGCATATCTTTGTCAAGATCCTCACAGGTGTTGCATATCAAGATGCCGATTACACAGCATGATTATTGCACAGGTGTGCCTTGAGCTGCTCACAATAAAAAGGCCACTCTGAAATGTGCAGTTTTATCACACACAATGTCACAGATGTTGCAGGTTTTGAGAGAGCGTGCAGTTTGACATGCTGTATGTTCATCAGAGCTGTTGCCCGTGAAATGAATGGTCATTTCACGACCATAAGGTTTCTCCAGTGTCGTTTCTGAGAATTTGGCAGTACATCCAACCAGCCTCACAACCGCAGACCACATGTAACCATGCCAGCCCAGGACAATCCAAATCTGGCTTCTTCATCTGCAAGATCGTCTGAGACCAGCCACCCGGACGGCTGATGCAACAGTTGATTTGCATGATCAAAGAATTTCTGCAAGAACTGTCAGAAACCATCTGCAGTTTGTTGTCTTGACCGACCTGAGAGGGTAAATGTTCACCACATATGAATCCTGGATTTCACTGCACTGGGCAGATGGGAGACAGCATTTATGGCGTCGTGTTGGCGAGCGGTTTACTAATGTCAGCATTGTGAACAAAGTGCCCCGTGCTGGTGGTAGGTGAGTTATGGTATGGGCAGGCATAAGCTGCAGACAGTTAACACTGGTGCATTTCATTGATGGCAATTTGTATGCACAGAGACACACTGTGATGAGATCCTGAAGCCCATAGTTGTGCTATTCATCCACCGCCATTGCAGCATGTTGCAAGGATCTGTATCACTGAAGCCACTGAACGGGAGAGGGTCAACAATCCACAGGCCGCAAACAAAAACCTGGTGCAAGGGAGATGTGTCGGGCTGCACGAGGCACATGGTGGTCATCCCACATTGTCTCGTTTTCTGATTTGTACATCTGTAGCTGAAGTCACGTGAAATTCATAGTTCGTTGCCTGAGAAATGTCTTTTTTTTTTCAAAACAAAACTACACATTTCAGAGCTGCCTTTTATTGTGAGCAGCTCAAAGCACACCTGTGCAGTAATCTTGCTGTGTAATCAGCATCTTGATATGCAACACCTGTCAGGTGGATAGAGGATCTTGGCAAAGGAGAAGTGCTCTCTAACACGGATTTAAACCCATTTGTGAAAAACATTTGAGAGAAAGAAGCCTTTCATTTCAACTGATGAAAAATAGGAGCAAAAGTGTTGTGTTTTTTTTGTTCAGTGTATATTGTATATTGCTTTAGGTATTTAGTTTGTTGGAAATAATGCATGGATATGAATGGACCACACAAAAACTGTAATGGATAAACACAGTGACTGTCCTTCCCATCACATCACACTATCAGCTTATCT